TATATATATATATATATATATATATATATATATATATATATATATATATATATATATATATATATATATATATATATATATAAATATATATATATATATATATATATATATATATATATATATATATTTTTTTTTTTTTTTGCGTTTTTAAAATGGATTCTTTTCCGTCCTTTTATCAAAGAAACTTAAACTGCCAATTAACATGCCTCAACTTGTAACTGACAATTTACAAATCAAAAAAGTAACAGTAACCAACTTTTTAGGTGATTGTATAGATGAAAATCTTACATAGAAAAATCACATTAAAAACTTGTTAAGTAAAATTTCAAAAAGTATAGGAATATTGTAAAAATCAAGAAATGTTTTAAATAAACATACTTTAGTACAACTATATCACCCATTTAATCATAGTCACTATAAAAGACAATGACAATGTTTGTAAACTGTACAAACATTCCTTTGGGTAGTACAAATAAAAATAAACTTGAACCTCTTTATTGTCAATAGAATCATGTAGCACGTCTTATATATTTTAAAGACCCTTATACTCATCCGTAGCCTCTATTATTTGAAATGAAAGTTTTTAATATATAATGATGTTATGAGCTTAATATTTTTAATATTCTTTGTTATATGTTTAAATGTAAAACCAATTCATCCCCGATTTCTTTCCATAATTTTTATTCATCAGAAGATAAAAAATAAATACATTTTACACAATGATAATGTTATTACGTAGTCCATTTTTCAAACAATTTTTTTAAATTATGTATTGATTATCGCGGACCATTCTTATGGAATAAAATAGTTTTAAAAACTTTTACCGAGAATTTTATTCTTCAAAGTAACTACTTTTCTTTTAAACGAAAACTTAAAGAACTCATTTTACAGTCGAAGATTTAACAATATACTTTTGATATTTTTTAGTAATCTTCGTTTTTACCCTCTATTTAAACACGAATTTATAAAAATTATATATGTACCTTTAATAACTGTAATATGTAATAATGTATGTTGTATTTGTAACGGGATATTTTAAGTTTCTTATTTCGTTAACTTATTTTTTGTCTTCTTAATAACTTAAATTTTAACACGAACATTTCTTAGCGGTACTCGACGACAAGACCGTTGGTCTTTCACGAGTTGCCGCGTTCTTTTATTATTTAATAACGATTAATATATATATATATATATATATATATATATATATATATATATATATATATATATATATATATATATATATATATATATATATATATATATATATATATATATATATTACCAGGGGCGCACAGAGGGTGGGGGATCCGGGTCGGGGACCCGCGGGCATCACGTTTATGAGGGCACCATCAGGTGATAAAATAAACGATAAAAGATCAGATGATAAAAAATCAGAATGCCAAATAAAAAATTTAAAAATCCAATAAAGAAATGAAAAATGTTTACTTTGTTATTATATTTCGATTTTTAATTTTGTTTCAATTCAATATGATTAAACCGATTACTGATTCCTAAAACCATTTTTACGGTAGATGACTCTCGATTTATAGGCCACGTTTTTTTTCTTTCTTTCAGAAATCAGTGTTTACGTTTTGTGATATGTCCTCTGAATGGCTCTTTAAACCATACGAAAAAACTACAAACTACATGTAACGTTGTCTTGAACAGTAGCGAAAAGAATAGTATAAACAATTTTACTATTCTTTTTACTATTGGTGATATATTCAAATATATATTTTTTATAGGCTTTAAGAGTTGAATCTGATTCTGAAAACAGCAGTGATCCAACACATCTCTCATACAAGTCACAACTATTGAGTAAGGCAGTTGGAGTGTTAGTTCAGTGCATTCTGTGCGCCAGAGCCAAGTCAGTTCTTCTGATAATCATTTAAATGAAGATCAAGAGATGTATGCGGTAACCAACAGTGAAACTGAACAGGCCAAGCTAACTGAAGCTATTAAGGACTATCAAGCAATCCTCATCAAAAACGATGACATTTCTGTAGGTATAACATCCTTCTATAACTCAAAAAAAGTTTAATTATTTATTAGATGTTTTATGTTATCATTTTTATTTATAAACATTTCAAGAAGTGGATAATGAAGAACATGACATAGACAAGGTGGATTCTACTCCAGCCATTTTAACCAATCACATATCTAACGACTCAGCTCTTTGGACTGCTTTATCAAATAAAAATATAGATACCATTGTTTTGATAGGTACTTCTTTAAGTCACGCAGACCTTCCAAGGGATTCAAGGAACCACATTTTTCCTACATCAGTATTAACCGAAGTGTTACAAAATGGATGAAACTGAAAAGAGACTGCCTTGTATGGAGTGAATTGGCAGCCATCTTTTTCTGCTTCTCTTGTTCTCTTTTTGGATCGTCTTCTGACCCACATATGAACAAAAAGTTGTCGTTATTATTCTGGAGAGGTAGTATCAAAGACGAGTAGAGGAAACTAGTTAAAAAAATAAAGTCTCATCAATCGTGTAGCCTCCATCGCCAAACTTATTTATAATGGAAAACAGCACTAAACAACATGCGCAACCATATATAGGAATTGATTCAAACCTGGAGAAACTTATTGCAAACGAAACTGAGCGCTGAAAAAATATTTTCTGTTGCATCATTCAAGTTACCTTATTCTTTGCATCAAGAAATTATTATAGTCTCTTTATAAGCCTCTTTTCATCTATTATTAATTAAAATTTAATATTCTATAAATAGGATCTAGTCTATCAGGATGGAAACGGCAATTTTCTCGGCCTTCAATTTCAATTTTAATTCAATACCTTCAATTTTCTCTTTGAATTGGTTGCTGAACACAAATAGACACTTGTGGATCGCTTGAAAGTAGTTGCTGAAAAATAAAAGGTAAGCGTACACAGGCCCACTTTGTTAGGCGCTATATTGATCATTTATGCGCTTTATGTAGTGGTATTGAGGTCCCAAAAAATCCACAACTGAAGTTCCATATAAGTTTAACAAATTTTAGGGGCAGGAGCTCTAAACACTGCACTAACTACATAATTTTGTTATTTACCTGGTAAAACGTTTTTGTTCTCCTTCTTCTTAATTTATCTTGGCGTTCGCAAAATAAGTTTCTTTGAGAGGATCGATAATTGGTAAAACTTGAGGCACTATCATAACTGACGTAACGCTAGAACGTTCACACAGTGAACAGATCATAGTCTAAATTTATAAGGGGTTCAAGCTGTGAAATCTTCTGTTTTGGCTAAGTCATACCTTGGATGTGTCCAGCTTTTATACAATCTTTTCAGAAAAAAAACCCCACACGTTGGAAATTTTTCAGGATCTTGCTGGCCTTTCTTTACACCAAACTTTATAGACAAGATGGGACGCTCGAATTGAATCTATAAAGCCATTTTCAAAGAGACCGAGAGAGATTATCTAATCATTGAAAAAACAAAAAAGAAATCTCACTGCTGACGTTTTAAATACAGTACGTTTTAAATACAGTACGTTCTCTTCTCAAGTGGATGAAGTCCTTTGAGTTTGTCATTTTTACTACCTTCTGGTTCAAAACTTTGACAGCTGGATGACGAGATAAAACTTATAGAGGGATTGAATGAAGATTTTATGCGAATTCATTCTTTTTGGGATGCCATCTTGGACGAGTCAAAAGAAGTAGTAACTTACCTTGGTTTTAAAACTGATTTTGTTGAAAAAAGAAGGAGAACAAAAACGTTTCACAACGAACCTAGCAACGCGTCTCATTATCAAAATGATGCATCAAAAGTTTTTTTCGGGTTCATGAGCTAGGGTTTTCATTACGAGTTAAACATAAGCGTATAAAACACAAAAATAAAACTTTAAAGAATTTAAAAATTTCAATAAAAGCTCAGAACTTCGAAGGTTCGAAAATTAATTGAACACCTTTGTGTCAAATATAATTCAGCTAACCAAACATTTTTATATATAACTAGAATTTAATTAAACTCTTATTAAATTCTATTTATTAAAACAATATGTCGATGGTTGCTGAAAGAAAGTTCAAATAATTGAAAATTCAAGATAATGAAGGAAATTGAAAAGAAAATTATCTGGAAAATCAAAAAACAATCATTAAATCAAAAGACATCCAAAGAAAATCATCTGTACCCATATCAGAGAAACATGTATATCCGATGCAAGCATTTTCTGGAAGGTAAAAAGGAATATATATATATATATATATATATATATATATATATATATATATATATATATATATATATATATATATATATATATATATATATATATATATATATAAATATATATATATATATATATATATATATATATATATATATATATATATATATATATATATATATATATATATATATATATATATTTATAGAATTAATTAAATATATTATAAAATGTATAAATGTAATAATTAAAATGTATAAATGTAATACATATATATATTTTATGCGCTTGCTGCATTGGTATTGAGGTCCCAAAAAATCTACAACTACAGTTACATATAAGTTTAACAAATTTTAGGGGCAGGAGCTCTAAACACTGCACTAACTACATAATTTTGTTATTTACCAAAACTAGTTTGTCCTGGGGCATAATAGCATTTAAAAGATAATTTAATTGAATACTTTTTGAAATTGTGCTTAATATAATGTTATTCATCGTGTAGAAAAAGATTTATCATATTTTTGAAATAAGTCACTAATAAACCTCCAACTCTGACAATACATCATGCTAGACTACGAACGACGTATTTTCACATTAATTGTTATGGTTCAATCTGATTAATTTAGACATAAACAAATATAAAAACAAAATATTTTTACGCTTTATGATGGTCTGAACCGATCAGACTAAAATTTAAAATTTATAAAAGGAATATTTTGTCTCTTTACCTTGAAAGTCAAAACAGCGCTTTTGTGGCTCTGTATATTCGTCCCGTTGCAAATAAATAAATCGTAAAAAAAAGTATAGACGCAGTGGCGAAGAGTGGAATAGTTTGTTTACAGTGATCTAAAATGGTGAAAAATTACCGTAGCGAAGAAGAAATCTCAGCAAAAATCTTAAATTTTGCTTTTATAATAAGCAAAATTTATTGTAATGGGTTTTAAAAAACCATGACATTAAAATATAGTGGAAATAACAAGGTAGTTAAAGACAATCTTGTAAGGCTTTAGAGATTTGCTAGAGAATGAACTTATATTATAGCAATACTTTTTAAAAAAATTAGATATAAGTAACTTTAATTGATATGTTAACTTATAAGTTATACAGTGCGTAAACTTATAAGTTATTACGTAATAGCTGTATAACTTAATACAGTATATATATATATATATATATATATATATATATATATATATATATATATATATATATATATATATATATATATATATATATATATATATATATATATATATATATATATGTATATATATATATATATATATATATAAATATATATATATATATATATATATATATATATGTATATATATATAAATATATATATATATATATATATATATATATATATATATATATATATATATATATATATATATATATATATATATATATATATATATATATATATATATATATATATATATATATATATATATATATATATATATATATATAAGTAGTAAAATTTTCATGATTTTCATAAGAATTAAAATTTTCATGAAGATTGTTATTGTAGATAAGAAACAATTTACAAGAGAAAAGATCTTGTGGTACCCTTAAAGTTACCTGAAATAAAGAAGAGTGTAGGCATTCAAGAATATTTATAATATTACAGTTAGAAAGAACCTAATGTATTAATCTCAAAAACTAAATAAAGAAAGTAATAACAAAGTAAAGATTAATTGTAGGATTGCTGGAGGAGTCAAAGTGTTTTCTAGAGTTTTGAAAAATTGGAACCACTTATTTATCACTTTATTAAAGTTTAGGAAAAATTGAAGAGAGTTCTGGACTTTTTTAAGACTATGATAGAAATCTTGTCTGAAGCACAAACTCTGTGTTTAATTAAAAATTAACTTTAGCATTGGATCCAGAATGTTTTGGATATCTAACAATGGGTTAATCTGTATAACTTGCAGGAAGAGAGTAATCATTAAAATCAAGAGTCAAGTTAGAGTAAGATTTCTTTGCAAATAATTCTGCCTTATTCTTGGGGGAAGTAAAAAATCAGACTCATGAATTAGAGATTAAATGTTAGTTTACTAAAATTTAATCTCCAATTCATGATTACTTACTTTAGTTAATGACACTGTTAAAGATTTATCAAAATTCTCTTTTTGACTTGACTTTAAAATGAAGAGAAGAAAAAAAAGTTTCCTTACCTTTATTCCAGGAGGAATAAAAGCTTCCAAGATGGGTTTTATTCATATTATGGATATAACATTTTTTAGCTATTTATTTAGGTGATGGCATAAAATATCTTTTATATTTATATAAACTTTAGTACTTATATGGTGTATTGTTTGCCGAAAGAGAAGATGATCAGATGAATGCATAATCTAACAAGACAAGAAAGGGAGGCATAATCTTAGACAGATTAGAAAAAGCTTCAGGAGAAAATGGTAATGGTAGAAGTAAGAAAACTTGAAGAGAGTGCCTTAGATATTGCATGAATGAGCTTTAGTTAAAAAAAGAAAAAGCTCTAGATTGTTTATATTAGAGAAACAGCATAAACGAAGAAGGCTAAAGTCTGATGATGATGACGATGATGATAGTGATCACGATGACCATGATCATGATGGTAATGATGGTCATGTTGATCATTATGATGTTTTTTATATGTATATATATACAAAAGGGCTCTGGCCCTGGTCAAATATCAACCTAGATCACTTACTAATAATAACCCTTGGAATTAGAGTCAGTGGCAATGCCGACCTAACTGCTGACCTTAAAATATTTGAGGTTGGTAGCAAATAACCAATCTTGTTTCTATGTTTTATGGTAAAATCTTTGTATCAATTTTTTTTTGCTGACCACTGAAAGATCACATATATATATATATATATATATATATATATATATATATATATATATATATATATATATATATATATATATATATATATATATATATATATATATATATATATATATATATATATATATATATATATATATATATATATATATATATGTGTGTGTGTGTGTGTGTGTGTTTTCTTTTGTATAGCCATTTACCGATGAAGCTTCAGATGCAAGCAATTCTTATGATGAATACCTGCTACTTTTGCAACAAAGAAATAGGTATATCAGTGTAATTTTTTTTAATGTATGAAAATGCATTGAGTGTATTTTAATTCAAATATTCTAGAAAGCATAAAATTTTAATATAATAAACTACAAAAATATTTTTGCAACTGTTCTTAACTTGTTGCATCCCATACTTTACTATGTACTAGTTGAGGTAATACTCTTCATATGTGATATTTTTTCTGCTTTTTTAAAAATATTTTTGATGCACATTGTTGGTCTTTGTATTTTAAGTTAAGTTTTTTTAATTTTTTCCTAAATGAACATTTTTGAGACAATGAATCTAAAAAGCCAAACTTTTTGGCTCATTCTTGGTTTTTAGGAAAAAATTTCTAAACATTTTTAAGTTGCTGAATAATCTTTAATTTTACTTAATGACCGTTTCTTGATTTGTCATTACATGGTAGGTCATTCTGTTATGTCATAAATTTGGAATGGCTTGTATTCAAATAAATTCAATAAAGCGTGGAATGCTTTTAGTGTAATTTTTTTGCATGTTTATTTACTTGTGGCTTTAGAGGTTAATAGATTCAATAAATTCGTTAAATTCAATAAAGGTTCCCTTTTTTTGTTAATCATACTTTTAAAAATAAAAAACCTTTCACAACATTAGGTTCTTTTTAATTGTTCAAATATATAATAGATACATTGATTAACATAAGCTTCAATCATTAATTTTTTCAATACAGAAACTCATCGTTAAAATATATTATTTTATCTATAGTTAAATTAAAATATTTAAAATGTTTATACTTGTTGTAGTTATATATAAAATCCAAGTTTAGTTCAAGCTTTAAATTTTTTTGACAGTTGAAAAGTTTTGATTAGTTCCCAAATTTTTCCTAATCATTTCATTATATCTCAACTTGATATTTTTGTTGTTTGAGATATCAGGTTTTAGCATACAAATTTTGTAAAATTTGCATGTTAAAATGTGATATCCCAGTCTCTTCTTTATAGTAACTGTGCATGCTACCAGTGTGCTATGAGATATTAAATCATGGATTTCAATTTTATTAGTAAGGTGTTTTTTATGCATTTAAATAAACTAACAATGCACCTACTCCCTAGATTTTAGAGCTAGTTACTAAGTTAGGTTTTTTTTCTCAATAAAATACAGTTACATAATTTTTATTGTTCATCTAAAATTGTGCGTACGTCAAGTTCTGCAAAGTTTGTGTATATTTGTGTAATGGATTCTGGTTTTATTAAACTAGTATAATTTTGTTTACCATTTTTTATTTGGTCATTTAGTTTAACAACTAACATTTTTTAAATGGCTCTAACCAAATTTAAACCAAATGTTTTTACATTGTTTCAAACTTTTTAATTTAAACCAAATATTTTTACAATGGTTCAAACCAAATATAGACCATTTAATTGAAATCAAACGTTTTTATAATAGTTCAAAATATTTAATTTAAACCAAGCGTTTTATGGTTCAAACGCTTTGATAAATAAATAAACTATATTAAATTAACAAAACAACTTTTATAGTTTTCAATATAATTTCAGAAAGTAGTAAACTTTATAAATCTTAAGAGATGTTGTTAAGTATTAAAAATCGAAAATGTGTGCAGTATAAAAAAATTCTTTGAAAAGTTCTTTTATTAAATAATATTTCATTAATATTTGTGTACTTCGTTGCTTTTTTTTATTCGCTTTTCAATCTTAAAGTAGTTTATAAATAAAAACTAAAGAATAACTTCCATTCCTGGGAATAACTAATAAAGAATAACTTCCATTCCTGGGAATAACTAATGAAGAATAACTTCCATTCCTGGGAATAACTAATAAAGAATAACTTCCATTCCTGGGAATAACTAATAAAGAATAACTTCCATTCCTGGGAAGGCTTTCAATAGTTTTTATTTATAATCTACTTTACTTTAGTAGAATGGATAATAAAAATATTAAAGATAAATAATGTTGAAAATTAATAACTAAATGAAGTTTTTTTTTTTAACAAATAAAGTTTTTGGTAATTAATAAATATGTTTTAATATTCTAAAGGTTACTAAAAAAGCTAAAAGAAAAAGATGAAGAACAACTTAAGTTGGAGCGCAGAGAGCAAGGGTTCACTCTTTTTCTAAATGGAGCTAATGTTGGATTACATCTAACATCTGGGAAGCATTATGACAAGAGGCACAAAAGTGCAGGAGGTTACTTGACTTCATGATATATATTTTTTCTGTGTTGTAATAAAAATAGATAAAAGAGGTTTATATTTTTAATTGCCTTATTTACCCATAATATTTTTATTACTTTTGTCAGCACCATTTCAAATTCATTTTTTTTGTATTTTCTTTTGATAAGATAAGTATTTTACAAATTTGACCACAGGCTCATAAAGTTTATAGCAGTGAGATCAATATACAGATATAGGGTGAGGTTTTGGTATAAGGTAAGTAATAGTAACTTAAATACAATATGATTTAAATTATAACTCTAAGAAGAAAAGAGAACTATTAGTAAATATTTAAGAAGAAAAGCAGACTATTAGTAAATATTTAAGAAGAAAAGAGGAAGAAAATATTTAAAGATGTCTCGATGGCATAATTTTATTACTGAGATTGTAGTCTATAAATTACGCCACGCTTTAAGAAGGGAGAAGGGGTTAGTAGTTTTGTGACGGCTCATATGAAACTTGCTACTAAAGAGTTACGATGTTGTGAAAAGGGGGAGAGGAGGGGTAAAATGTAGAACATTACATAGTAGAAATGGTTATATTACTAATATCAATTAGTAACATCACCATTTTTACTATGAAGGTATTGGATCCAGACACTTTTGTGTTGTTCTATTGTAAAGTTGGTGAATTATAATTGTATATGTTAGAAAAACATGTTGCACATTAATTTATAATTACTGTTAATAATTTATTTAATGACTATTGTAGTTAAAAGAATTGTCCGGAGAATTTTAGCTTTGTATATATATAAAATTTTGTGTGAGATGAAGAATGATTAAAGAAACTTTTAAATAGTTATTTACAAAATATAAGCGCAACAGTGCAACGTGTGTTTTTCTTACATATCTTATTTTACCTATCTTATTTTACTTATTAATACCATATATCTTTTTCTTTATTATTATTAAATATCTTGTTGTGTTTTTTGGAATATTGTTTTACAATTTTAAACAGTTGCTAATTATTCTTTTTTTAATGTAAAGTACACAGCTTACTTTTTTTTGCCAGCTATTTAAGACGTACTTAAATAGTTTTATTTTTACTAGTTCAAGCCTTAATAACTTAACATTTTTGCTAATATACTTTGATTAGATAATTGAACATTGCATTTTACGTGTTTTTGTAAAAAAATTCTTCTGAATCTAAATTCCAACAGATTCTGAACATCTGTATAATTTTAGATTTTGAACATATTTTTGATTTCAGGTTCTGAAAATCTGTTATGAATTTAAAAAAATTAACACATTTTATGATTAAAATTTGCACATATCATTGGTTTAATTAAAAACATAAAGTAAATTCACCGAAATAACCCAAATTTTTAAATAACCAATCAATAAATAACCAATCATGCTCAAGTCTTTAATAACTTTTAACTCTTTTCTATTATACCTTACCCCCTTACCCTATGACAATCATAGTTATTTTACTCTGTGTACTTGCTTTCCCTATACACAAGCAAAGCCCCAATTAATTCTTCCTCCATAACACTATCTCCTTGTCTTTACTATTGCACACATTAAAGTTTAAAAATTATAAGTTTAATCAAAAAATGGCACTGTTAAAATATGTTTAATTTTTATTTCTTATTTTGTTTAAATGTTTAACAATTTTGTAAGTATATAATTGAACTTTATTTAGATGGAAGTTTTAGACCTCAGTTTTATGATTCGTAAGAATTTTAATTTTTTTTTGTTACTTTAAATATGTTGCTAATTATATATAATATTATGCAAAATTTTTCAAAACGCAATTTAAAAATCTAAAATATTGTATAGTTCAAGATTAAGGATTCACAACCTAGATTCCTGGTGCCCTTATAAATTTAATTTTAAATTTAGTCTTTTTAAATTTTTAATTTTAATCATGTCTTTCCTTACTGTAATTTAATTTTTATTTATTTTATCTTTGTAATGATTTGTTTCTTTTTAAGTTCTTTTTTTTTTACATATTTTTTTGTTGTTTATTTTCTTCTGCAACAGCTTATTGTGGTGGATCTGTTGCTGATTTACTGGATTTATCATTTATTACATTTTCAAGCTCACTAGATACATTTTCCCTGTGTGCCCTGTTAATTTCTAAATAATTCTTTATTGGTTTCATCATTCAATATATTATTGTTGGTTTTTATAAAATTTCTGGTTTGCTTTGAGCTATCATTGAATTTATGTTTTTTTATTAAAAACCCTTTCCTCCTCATCTTTTCTTTTAAGTTTTTTTCAAATTCTTTTAATAATTCAGGTGCAGGTGTTTTCAAATATGTTCCCAATATTATTGTTTGAAAGATTTATTTCATTATTATCCATTGCAGAATTCAATTTGAAACATTGAATTACCTTTTAAAAATTTTTAAACCTTTTAACACTTGGATGGAAATATTCTTGTTAACTTAAATTTGCTAATAAAATTTGTTTTCATATTTGAATCCATATTGAAATTTATTTATATTTTTTTTGTGAGTTTCTTTAAAATTGTTATTCAATTTAAATTAATGACAAAAGTTTCAATTTTTTTGTTTTATTAAAAGCTGACACATCTAATAGTTGTTAAATGTGTAGCATTTGAAAACAAAGAATTCAAATAAATTTTTTCCTATGGCCAATACATGCTGAACTCTTCTGACACATTCAAAAAGATCAATTTATAAAAAACATTAGGAAAAAAAAAATTGTAATAAAATTTGTAAAAAGTATTTTTATTTTTATTAAAAAATGTAAAACAATAAAACAATTTTTTTATATGATGATTATTTTTGAAACTTTTAAATATATATTTTTTTAAGACCCAACATAATGTACTTTTGAAGAACTTTTTTTTTTGATAAAATTAAGGATCCATCTGATGTTTAAGGGTCTTGAAGGTCCCTAAAAATATATTTTTTCACAAGTTTTTCAATTTCAGTATTGTTTTATTATATAGAACACCTTTAGATGGTTCTAATATATTTTCTATAAATAAAAAAAAATGTATATTAAAAAAAAAAAATTATATTTAAATTTTAACTATTTTTATAACAATCACAGTTTTGCTTCCTTGTGGTAGGAGAAAACGTGACCCTATTTACTTTTTTTTCAAACAAACTAGAAGTGGAATAAAAATAAATAAATAAAAGAAAAAAGTAAAGAAAAACTATAGTTAATTTAGGAAGAAAAATATAATAACTTTAAGACGTTTCATATGTAATAACTTTATGGTGTTTTTTTTTTTTAATTTTATTTGAAATGCTTTTCATATTTTTTATACATTGGACTATTTTACAGTTGATATATTTATCATTGTTATAGATACAGTGCAGTGCAGATTTACAGCCTGCTACAGATTTACAGCTGTATAGAAGCTTTGAAAAAAGCTTTCAAAAATTGTTGATCAAATTCTATTTGTAGATTATTTTTTAGAATAAAGTACTTCAATTGAATCAATTTTTACACTTTAATAAATTCAAATCTTAAAATCTTTTAAAACCGTGCTGCACAATTACAACCGTGTTATTTTTATATATAATTAAACCAAAAGGTATAAAATAAATAGCATTGAATTTTGTTTTCAAGTTAAATTTATTCAATCAAATATATTTTAACAAATGCTTTGAGGAATTACACTCTCTGTTGTAAAAAAAGGCAAGATTGAAGCTTACTGATTATTGAATTTAACAAACAGGAAAATTGTTTGCAAGCTGAGACACACACCATGTTGGATCAATAAATTCGTAAATGACCCAAAAAATTATTTTACAAAGCATCGAAATGGTAGAAGACATATGCTTACAGCAACGAATTGTGCATGTCACTTGTAACCGCACAGTCTCTGGACTGTGCATTCATTTGGGATTGAAATGCTTAAGATAAAATCAATTAACAAGTCAGGCATTCTCAGATATGTAAAAAAACACACATCTTCATCATTAAATAAAGTGCTCAAATGCATTTGTTTTCAATGGGTAAAAGACCACATGACTTGGAAAAATTAATGGCAAAAAATTGCAAATATTCATGAATATTTTGAAACAAAAACTTTAATTTTCAGAAAGATAATGCTCTTATTTATAGAACAAAGTCAAATATCAAAGTTTACCAATAAAAAAATTCAACTATTGGAATGGTAAGCACTCAAAATATATATGGCATCTTAGCAAGATGTGTTTATGCAGAAGGGAAACAATATTCAAATCTCGATGAATGAAAAAGGCAATCATAAATGTTAAAATAAAATACTTAAGAATTCAGATGCTAAGCAGTTGAATAATTTAGTCATGATCACTTATTTATATGTCAGATCTTTAAGCGAGTTTATAAATCTGCACTGTGCTAGTTTGTTATGTTTAAATTAAACTTTCAATTATTTTTTAATTTTGAAAAGTGTTTGTTGTTATAGCAATTCCAGAATTAAAACTGCTCCTTCAAAAGCTGTTCCTTCAAAAAGAAAGGGTTGGAATGAGGTTTTTGCAATTTAAAAAATTTTTTGTGTTAATTTTCATTTTAAGTTTATTTTATTTACCTTAATTTTTTCATTTTTTTGTGTGTTTTTAATTTTTTTCTAAACTAATCTATTTTAACCATAAAAAGAAATTTTTGTATTTAAAATTTATTTTCAAAATGTATAATCAAATATTTTTTCGTTCCACAACTTCATTAAATCTATATTTAAATAAGTGGCTTTATTTATTGTAAAGAAAATTTGTCGGGGTTTTAAAATTAGGTAACAAGCTTAACTATTAAACCATCGTTTAATTGTAAATATTTACTGTTATCTAGCTGTAACTATCAAACCATCTACATTCCTAAATGCTGCTACATTCCTAAATGTTGAAACATTTAGGAATGTAGCAGCAACTCCTATGAAACCATTATCTTTCCATTAAATACATGTGTAATGCAGTGAAAAACAATTAGAAACAGCAACCCCATGTTTACCAATAAGTATCTATGTCTGTAGTTCTCTACTTTCTCTGTTACAAATTTTGTTTTAAATTTATGTGTTTTCACTATTAAACAGTTTAAACAAAGCAACATCTACTTCTGTATTAAGTTCAATTTCTATTTTACCTAATTTGCTATTTATTAAAGGGGATCCAAAATTCTATATTTTTTGTTTAACCTGTTATTCTTAATTAATTTTTTAAAAAAAGTTCAACAAACAGTTCAATTTTTGCTATTTTTTTGTGGTTACTTTCTACGTTGTATTGAAAATTTGTTTAATTAAAAAACTGTTTTAAATCTGTTTTAGGAGCCAGTTGGTGTATTGAAAATTTATTTAATTAAAAAACTGTTTTAAATCTGTTTTAGGAGCCAGTTGGTGTATTGAAAATAAAATCACAATCTGGAGAAAAACTTCTTGTAAATGATCCGGGTATAATAATTGATATGATAAATGATAATTAGTTTTAATGTTATTTATAAAACACAATGTAGCTTTGGTTTACAATTTAAGATTATTGTATTATATGTAGAACTTTTTCTGAAAATAAAAGAAACTATTTATAGACCTATTTCATAGTTTTATGCATTACATAAAAACAGTTTTTTTACCAAAATAAATTTATGAAATTATTTATTTTTATTTATAAAAAAAAATTAAAATTATAAATAAAAGCCATTAGAAATAAATTATTGCACAAGATCTTGCACAATTTCTATAAAATTCTGGTTTTAGTGATTAAATGATGTTTAAAAATAAAACTGTGTAAAAAAAAATTAATTAAAAAAAAAATTAATGGTCTCACTTACTTAAAAACATTACCTATTTCAAGATATTCAGTGTGGAAAATATAGTGATGATTTTGACCCAGATGATAGCATTAAAGAAGAGGCAGATGAAGAGAGTGAGCATGAAGATGAAATAAGTGAAGAAGATAAGGTATGTACAAAAATATATGCAAAGTTTTTGGTTTTACAGTTAGCATTTTTTTATATAAATGTTAAAAAAGTTTGTTCACATCTATGCACTTTGGTACTTTAAGGAAATTTCACTTTTTAGAGCAACTTATTAAGTCAAGATGAATATTCATCAGAAGAAGATGAACAAAATAATTTACATTTGACTTTTACAATCGAAGATGCAAAGGTAGAAAACATTTTTTCAACGTCATGATACAATTTAGAAAAGTTTAATGAAATCTGTTTTTATTTTTTTTACTGTTTGCATACATTGCTTGAAAAATAGCTAGAAAATGTGAGAAGTGCTACTACATTGAATGATAAATAAGTAGAACATGTAAGGAGTATTGTAATAATTAAAGACATCAAAGCTAGAGTGTGTATATATATATATATATATATATATATATATATATATATATATATATATATATATATATATATATATATATATATATATATACATGTGTATATACGTATATACGTGTATACGAGTGTATATATATATATATATATATATATATATATATATATATATATATATATATATATATATATATGTATATATATATATATATATATATATATATATATATATATATATATATATATATTCCTAAGCTGTTGTTATTTTTTGATTTTATAAGTTTTTATAAAAAAAATTATTTAAAAGGAAATTTTTTAAATGCATAAGGTGTTGCGTGCATGCTTGCAGACAGATTCAAGTGTGATGCAAAGTTTGAAAGAGGTTAGTTTTTTTTTTTATTTTTAAAATTTTTTTTGTTTGTCTAGACAACAAGTGATTTGTAGATACAAATCACTTGTCGCAGATAAAAATAATTTAAAATGAATTAAATCTGAATATATCTCAAATAATAAATTAATCCAACATTTAAATTATTTTGTTTATGAAACATTTGTATTTAATTTTTACTTTAATAATTACTACTTAATTATTGTAATAGTTAAATGGTAATAATTGAATTGAATATAAATAATGACTGATATGATCAAAATTATGATTATAATAAAATATAATGACAGAAATTGATGGATTGATGTAGTCAATGCTGAAGCTGTTTAGGTCTAGGAATTTTCACAGACTAGAAAGTATGCATATAAAAGTAAATGTATTCTAGTTTATTTTTTTCTTCTTTTTAATATCTTTCTGCGCTTTTTAATATTTTCTGCAATTTTTTCAGTCTAGATAAGTCAAAATTAGTGAAAATAATACAAAACATATATACCTTATATATATATGCATTACATACATTGTTATAATATATATACCTAATATATAAATACATTTTATTTAATATTTTGTGTGTTTTATGTATTATATAGTGATGTATTTTCTATATATTTATTAATTTATTTCTTTGTGTGCTAGTTCTAAAAAGCTAAATTTTTGTCTTTGTCATGTTTGTATTAAGAATGTGTATTTTATAAGAATGAGCATTCTTTTGAATTATGATTGTACATGAGACATTTATTTGGTTTGTCAGTCAGTCATTATGATTGGAACTGTACATGAGACATTTATTTGGTTTGTCAGTCAGTCATTATGATTGAAACTGTACATGAGAAATTTATTTGGTTTGTCAGTCAGTCATTATGATTGGAACTGTACATGAGACTTTTATTTGGTTTGTCAGTCATTATGCTTCAAAAATAAGTTTTAAAAAACAACTTTATTAGTTAAAGACAAATTGTAACAAAACATGGCAAATAAAATGTATAATTATATAAGTACATTTTTTTGTGAGAAAAAACAAGCAAATTTTTAAACAAAATATGAATGAAAAATAAATTTCCCTAATCTATATTTAAACCCAACTTCTTAAGTCTATGCTCTTTAATCCCTTGGCCACACTTGGCCACAGACTTTTTAAATCTTTAAGCTAAAGCTTAACTAAAACTGTTAAATATATATTGATGTTAATATTTTCTTTTTAGTTTATAATTTCAACTTTTTAAAAAAAATTTCTGCTTATAGTTATTTATATACTTAAACCCTTTTTAAACCCTTATACTTTTTAAAGCCTTATACTTTTTAAACAAGATCCAGTAAAATGTGAGATTACAAGTTATTAATCTCATTTCAATGCGCAATTAAAACAAAAATGGGCTAGTGACGAAATTAAACAATACTTTGTATAACATATTATGAATTGGCTTATACTACAAAAATATCAATATGCTTACATCACTCACACAATTTTGCTGAAACAATAAACAAATAACATACAGGGTAAACAAATAACATACAGGGTAAACAAATAACATACAGGGTAAACAAAACTATTTAGTAGTAAAGTTAAATAAAATATTAACTTATTTTATGATATAAATTATTTATGAAGTCAGATAGCATAACATTTTTTCTAGAAAAAAAATCTTTATAAACATCAAATCAAAAAAATATATATATATTCAAGGAAAAAAATTAATTTCATAAATAATTCTTAAAATAAATTTTACCAGGTTTTTATTAAAATAAGGTGAATATTTAAAATCAAATTTATGCTTTATTTTGTTTTATCAATCAGTGTCAGTTGTATACTTATGATTATTTTAACTAATCTTTTTTATTTGAATCAAACAAGCACAGCTATCATAAATTTTAAAAATAAAAATTAAAAACAATTTTAGTTATCTAATAAACTATGCCTCAGCACACAGCAAACACTCATCAAAATAGTTTTTAAAGTTAAAATCCTGAACATAATATATTGAAATGAATTTTAAACACTAAACATATATATTAAATACAAATTGTACGAACATGATTTTGTCATTAAAAATAAAATCTAATAAGTTAAAGTGTTATTAAAAAAGTAAAATGTAATAAAATAAAATGTAAATAAGTATTCTATATAAAAAATTACTGTAAAAACGTACTTGAAAAAAAAAGTGTTATCTAAAGGATAGTGATAATGATGAAGATAACAGTTTGGAAATGGAAGATGAATGTGTATCTGAAGATAGCGGGTCAGTTGTTTCTGATGAAAATATCTTAGTGGAAGATTTTGAGGATGATGTTGATGAATGTACAAAAAAGAAAAACAATGATGTTCTGGAACTAACTTCAGGTTTATGTTTGATTCTATGCTGATTATCTCATGTTTTAAAAGCTAAAAAATTAACAGAAATATTTTTTATTCCAGTTTCTACTGTTCAGAAGCACTGCCCTGTTTCCTCAAGAAAACAACATAAGCCAGACAGTTTTATTCCTAAAAATATTTCTGCTGATGTTCTTGCCGCAATAGAGAAAGAAAACAAGCAACTTGCTGAGTTTCAGGGTTATATATTTTTACCTATAAATTGTATTTTAGGTTAATTTTGATTTTCTATTTATTTAAATGTAGTTGTAAATTTTTTCTAGAAAAACGGAAATTGGAATCTCCTTTACGCACAAATCAAACTGCTCCAGGATATGCTCAGGTGCTTTAATTTTTTCTTTTTTTTCAATAAGTAAAAAAAAGACAAATTTATTTTTTTAGATTTATTTTCAATTCTTTTTTGAATAAAATTAAAGTTAAAATTTTAGACTGTTTATGAAAATAAACCTGAAATATTAGAAGATCGTCCACAAACGGTACCTGCTCTAACAGAGGCTGACATCAATACCATAACTCAAAAAGTACGTAAAATGACTGGAAGGTAATATATTTTAAAAATAGTTTTTACCTGTTTTTTTTTGTTTTTTTGTTTTACCTGGAAAAATAAGATAAATCCAGAATGTAAAAAGCCATTTTTTTTTAAAAAAGCAACAACAAAAAGATTCTTTTATTTGTAAAAACATGTAATTCCTTTATTTTGTCCAAATTAAAAAAAAACAACTGATAAATAATCACTTTAATGCAATGTTTTTGAAACTTATTCAAGTTATTTAAAGTTTTGAAAAGTTTTTTATAATTTATTATATAGTTTATACATATTTTATAGTTTTGTTTTAAATTTAAGATTTAGTTTGTTATATTTTTTATTAAGACAACAACGGAAGCTTTTAAATATGTTGGCTGAGCTAGAGACACCAGAATCTTTGATAAACACATGGAGCAATTCTACACATGACTCTGATAAAAATAAATCTTTTGCTAATAATGTATGTCAAGAAGAAAATGGTAAGAAAAAATTGTTTTTATTATTTAGTTTGTTAACAATTTCTTATATTAACTATTATTTAGAATGATTTTTTAATTCATTTATGATTTGAAATTCTTTTAGATAGTGAAACTGTAGAGCCAGGAACAAAGGAACAGGAAGGGCTAGGAACCATAGGGTTTAATACCATATCAAAAGAGAATTCCATAACAAACAAGTCTTTACTTTTGAAAATTGAATTTCACAGTAATTGGGGAAATGAACACTACATCGGTTTAACTGAGGTAATAAAATTTTTCTACTAATGTTTTAAATATATATATATATATATATATATATATATATATATATATATATATATATATATATATATATATATATATATATATATATATATATATATATATATATATATATATATATATATATAATATATATATATATATATATATATATATATATATATATATATATATATATATATATATATATATATATATATATATATATATATATATCAGGCTTTCCCAAGAAAGGCGTGCGGTCGCACGCCTTGTTTGTCTATGCATAGAATTAATTTTTCTGACTAACTGACCACGTTTTATTATTATGCGTTTCAAGAATTCGCGCTAAAACAAAGCTAAACGAAAATACCGCAAAAATGCAAGCAATCTTAAAGTAAATAAAAGAAATCTGTTTGTGCTTTCAAATTTAAAAATAAATGTATATTATTAAAAAAAAATTTATCCATATATTCTATTTATTTATTTTTTTTTGTTTTTTAGGGCGGTAGTTATTTTAGCTATGAAAAATCAAATCAATAAAAAAAATAAAATCAATAAGAACAATCAAATCAAAAAGAAAAAGATTATTGTTTAATGAAAATAAAAGGACCTTTTAATGTAAAATTTGTTTATGACTTTTATCAGTCAGTAATACTTTAAAATTCACGATAGAACTTTAATTAATTTTTAAATGTTTCGTAAATACATTTAATTGTTTAAATGTATTGATACGCAAGAAAGCGCGAAAACGATTGCTATTTATTTGTAAAATATGTTTTTTTTTCAATTTTCAAATGAAAGAAAAGTTGATTGGGTTGCTTATTCTGCAATCATTAATTGACATTGTGAACGAGTGTTAATATATAATAATGTCCCGAAGGAACTGTTTTCGTAACAATGACAACAGAAGCAATGCAATTATTTTTTTAACCTCTTTCGTAATTACAAAATTATGCAATTGAATAATTTCAACGTAGTAAAAGGCGAGCATTGACTCAGTATAATCAGTTTAGAATAAGTCGAATAATTAAAACAGCAATTTATTTTCTTGTCTAAGTATTGGGGAATAACGTCATCGTCTTTGCATAAACCTTCGTAAAAACTAAATTAAATGAAAAAATTTAATCAAATTTGTCTAGGGTAAATAATGAATTAGTTTTTTAATAAATTATCTGATAAAGTTAGTAAATAAATTACGTATCAAGTCTTTTTATTTTCGTGAAAACTTTATGATTTATTATTGCCTTTTCCTTGACATGTATCAAATTTCGTAGCTGAAAATAGCAACCCTAAAAAAAGAAAACAAAAACAGTATAAAAATTTTGAAAAAAATGTTCAGGACTTTTTTTTTTTTTGTTACAAGATTTTTTTTTTTTTAAATTTTTTTTTTATTATCAAAATACTTTTCTTACATCCAATTTCAATTTTATACTTTGTTTAGACTTCGTTTCCTTTTTTTAATATTATATTTTATTCTCTGTGGATAAGTTCCGCTTTCCCACGAAATACTGCCGCGGTCACGTTTTCTGAAAAATTTATTCTATGCGTGGACAAACAAGGCGTGCGACCGCACGCCTTTCCTGGGAAAGCCTGATATATATATATATATATATATATATATATATATATATATATATATATATATATATATATATATATATATATATATATATATATATATATATTAGGTAATGATTTTTTTTAGCTTGAATTCATTGATATAAACATGAAAAGTTTGGTTGTAAAAGAAAATGACATCAAAATTGCTAGTTCCCACTTAGTATTAACTGACGTAAAAAGCTTGATTAATAAAAAAACAAAGGTTTTTTAACTTTTTTATTTTTATAAAAGTAATACACTTACATGTAAATTGTATGAAGTTATTTTATCAGTACCAGATTATCACTTTTTGGGGCCCTAGGCAAACAAAAATTAGGGGCCCTTTATTTGATGAAAAATATTTGATTTAAGAAATTTATTATTTTTGAATAAATATATCATAAAGTACATTAATTTGTTCAAAAAATATTATTTTTCTTGCTTTTTCATTAGTAAATGCAGTAACCAAATCATTGAAATTTAATTTTATCATTTTATCATGAATAATTGTCGCACTATACATGAATACAAAATTTGACCATGGGATTGTAAAACTATGTTTTAATTAGTTTCAACTTTGAAAAGGAGAGCTCACCAGACCAGTAAGTTTCCATTAAGCATAAGAAATTTGCTCAATGTTTTCTGGAGAAGATAAGACAATATTGTGGCGCAAATTGCTTTTGTCAAAATATTTTCTTTCGAATTTGCTGATGCTGCACTGGAATCTGCAAACAAATATTTGGCTTCTACTTCTATGTTGTTCAATTGTTTATATTCAAAATAAATTTATTTAACAATGCAAACAAGTCTGAACATATTTTTAGTGTAAATTCTGTGCTCCATAGGATTTTAGATATGGTGTCATTCCTATGCAAAATTCTTTTCCAAAGATTTGTTAACAATGCAAACTCAGACTCTTTCATTTTCATAATCTAATTGTGAATAAATGAACGATTTGCACATACTGAATTCAATATGCCTAAAGGATACCAATTGAGCTCTACATTTATAAATTTAGTATATTGTTCTGTTGGCTTACCATAGATAAATTTAGTATTACATAGATAAATTTAGCATATTGTTCTGTTGGCTTACCATCTTCAAATAACCACAAGATTATACTACTATAAGTTGGTCAATGTGAGTTATATCAGGTGTAGAATCAAATAAAATCCCAAAGTAAAAAATCCCAAAAGATTTAAAATCATCAATAATTGGTTGCAACTTTTTTTGCAATTAATTGGGCTATCTCTTCAAATTTTGAGTAATAGTGTTTCTCATTTACAATTTTATTTAGTTGTTGGTTTAGAAGGCAATTTTTTGCATGTCCAGTAACATTGTCAGGCAACTGTTTCTACATTTTCACTATTTATAACCAGCCTATTGTATTAGTGATAAGGAAAACAGTTTACATGTCAAACAATAAACAGCCCCAGATAGTGAATAGAGTAACCATTATTCTTTCAAAAGATTCTCCATTTACTTTCCTTGATGTAAAAAGAAAATTTGTCGAAAAAACAATTTGTATCTTTGTGCAACTGTAGAGGTTTTTCAAAATTAACATTCCAATACTGATATTTAGCTTTTTAATCCAAAATCTAATATTACTTTCATCCAAGCAAGTTCACAAACCTACATCATTTAATCTGTTACTGTGACAAAATCCAGCAATACTATCCTTCTCATTATTGTTTTAAACAGTAGGGCTGTTTAGTTTCTGGCAAATAAGTTTGATAGGAATCTTGCAATAGCTCTTCCAATCAAATTGGCGTAACAACTTTTTCTGTTTCCACTTAAAGCGGCAGAAATTATTACATAACATAAAATTACAAAAAAATTTGCATAATATCTAAAATATCTTGATTTAGAATTTCAACTAAGTAGTTTTAATCATACTTGACTCTCCAGGAATATCCTCTGCTTTTTTAGTGAAAAATAAATCTATTTTTGGCAGTTTGTTTATATGAAGATTTGTGTTTAAAAATTTTAATTAAAAAATAAAGTACTCAATTTTGTTAAGTTTTTTGAATTAGACAATTCAATTAATTTTGATTATTATATTATTAAATTTTTTAGTTTTTGTTATCCAGCATAAATTATCTAAATTATTTTCTCTAAATTATTGAACGCAGTACCACTAGAAATAAAGTGGGGTTTAAACTTTGTCTCCAATGAAACCCAAAAAAAAACTACTAGGCTTGATTTTATAAAATATTCAGGGTTTACTAATCCTATTTATTACAATCTAAGTTATCGTCTTTATCAAAAGCAATATCATTGCTGTCAACATTTCAAAGTTCTGTTTTAATAAGTTTTTCGTTTTCAGACATATACTTATGAGAAATTTAATTTAATTTTTTTATTTTAAAAATGTTCCATAGCTGTTCTAACTAGTGTATCTTTTTTAGACAACAAAAGAGAATAATATGTTAAAATGTAAACTTGTACGAAATGAAAGTCTTAAAGTTCACATATGGTTACCAATTAAAAATCTTGCAGAGCTTGGTAAAGTTGTAATATGGAATTATAATCAATCACTACAGGTTTGATGGCTTAAGAAAGAGATTTAAATTTTTGTTATTTATTTTTAAATTTTATTCTTACGTTATTATAATTTATATAATTAATGTGTTAATTATAAACATTGTTATAATTTTCATACATTTTTAAAAATAAATTTTCTGTTAAATTAGGATTTAAACATAGGGGTTAAGCATTGCAAAATTATTGTGAATGATAAAGTGCTTTGGGATGGTACCATAGGAAAGGTAAAAGTTATAATTTTTAATGTGTTTGTTGTTTGGTTAGTATTTATAGTCAAAAAACTTTATTGTTGCAAGTCAACACTTAAGTTATATTGAGAGTTATTCTTTTTGGTATTCTTTATTTTGGCATTATTTTCGTAGAATATTTTTTAACATAGTACAAAAAACAAATTATGATGATTAAGAAATAATTTGTGACTCCAATTTGAAGCAGGTGAAGTTCTATAGTTGTGGTGAAGTCGACTTACTCAGGAGAAGCAAATTTCTGATATAAAAATCAAATTAAATGTGTGTAAAGGTAGGTGGCTCTTGTAAACCTTGAATGGTAGGTAGATAATCTTGAATGGTAGGTAGGTGAATCTTATAAACCTTAAATGGTAGGTAGGATCTTGTAAACCTTGGATGGTAGGTAGGTAATCTTGTAAACCTTGTAAGGTATGTAGGAGGATTTTGTAAATCTTGGATGGTAAGTAGATAGATCTTTTAAACCTTAAACGATTGGTAAGTGGATTTTGTAAACCTTGGATGGTAACCTTTCTAGTAGTATTATCACAATAAAAATGTTCAGTTCTGATCTGCAAAACAGGTTAATATCAGGAAGAGCATCCAGCTTCAGGTTATGGAAGCCTGACCAAACCTCACATTTTAGAAATAATGGACATTAAACAAATTAAAAAAATTTTTTTTGTGAAATTTTAAAACAAATTTTTTTATAAAGATTTTCTGAAGCTTTTCTTTTGTAAACATAAGTTTTTTCTATGAGGCTTCTATGTGGTTTCTGTTATAAATGTAACGGTTTTTAGTGAACTTTCTTTGCTTCTCCTATAAAAAAATCTTAAAATTCGATTAAATTAAACAATTGCAAAAAACTAACAAGTTATTTGGTTTGAACATCTTTTTAAAGTTATTTACAATAACTTTAAACTTGCATAAAAATCTTTATATATACATTTAATAATGATAATTACAAAAATAATAATGATAATTAAAAGTTATTTTAATAATAATAATTATAAATCTAGGGTTGTGGTAACCAAATATTCGATTATGGTCATGTAGTTGATATAAATGTCTTGGCAGATACAAAAGAAGATAAAATTATAGAAAATTTTGAAAAGTTTGAAAGAAATCATTTGGCTGACGAGTGAGATTTTTACTTGAATTTTCTTACTTCAAAGTTTGTATATACATAATAAATATATAATATATATTATATATGTGTGTATGTAAATGACTATATAAATAAATTTTTATTTTTAAAGATAATTTTTATATATCATTGTTTAAAAACTAACTTTAATTTTAGATCTTGTGAAAAACGAATGGAACATGTGTCGCGATCAAAAAGTACACCTCTCATAGGTTCTTTAATGAATGATCGAAAACAAGAAAAGCATCCTAAGGAAATCACAACATTCTTGTAATTTTTGATAATTAATGTAGTTTTTTATTTTAAATTTTATTGTTTTTTACATTAATCATTAACAGTTTATTTTTGTAGATATAAACTTTTAAAATTAAAAACTAAAAGTCACGCTTCATCGCTTTCTTTATATCTAGTTTAATTGATATGCTTCATTGCTTTTTAAAAATTGTTTTTTTTTTTGGTAATTAATATATTTTCAAAATTATTATTACTTATATATTTTTTCAATATTTTCCAAATATTCTTTTTCAATTAATTTTTAAAAGATCTTTTTTTATTTATCAGGCCTTCATCAACAACAGTTAGTTCAGGGAAATTATCCTGGTTAGAAGGTTTGCCTTTAAAAATTATTTGTTTAATAAGTTAATTAGTTGGAAAAACTGAATATTGAAATTTAACTTTTAAAATTGAATTTGTTGCAGTTAAATTTAAAGAAGATATTTTTTAATTCTTTTTTAATGCCATTTAATCCTTAAAAACCTTTTTCTCTTATTTCTTTTATTCCTTTGTTATACAAATTTTTTAATGATTTAGTTCAAAACAAAAATAATTTTATATAACAAAATTTTGTCGTATAAAATTATTTTTATACGGTAACCTAAAGTCTTATCATTAAAGTATTATGGGTAACCTAAATTTTTATGAATTAAGTATTATTGGTAACCTGAATTCAACATTATAGTATAGTAATTATTAACCTGTAAAGTTTTTTCATAATTGTATTGGTAGCCTAAATTTGACAGTAATCATTTATTTAGTCTTTTTCCATTTTTTTAAAATAATTTTTCAAAATTTCTTAATTTTTTAGTTTTGCCTTGCATATAAAAATTTTTTATATGCAAGGCAAAACTAAAAAATTAAGAAATTTTCAAAAAAATATTTAGGTAATTAATATTAAAAAATTTCTTTTATGAAACAATATATGAACAATAATTTTATGAGCAATAACGAATATAATGATTATATAAATTATGAGGTTTTTTATCCAAACAAAAATATTTTTAACCTACAAAATTTTACTTCTGCAATGTATAATTTTACTATAATGGTACAAAATGCAATGGTACAATTTTGGCATTTATTTATAATTATTTATTAATAATTGATTTGTTCTGTTTTACTCTATTAGTAAAAGAATGAATTTAAATAGACCACTTAAACTATAAAGAGTAAACCATGTATATAAGCATGTTTATATACCATATAAATAAACATGTTTATATACCATGTATATACACATGTTTATATACCATGTATATAAGCATGTTTATATACCATGTATATACGCATGTTTATATACCATCTATATAAGCATGTTTATGAAAAATGTAACTCTATTTAAAAAGATTCATTTATTGCATTTAGCTAATAATTTAGAAGATGGTTTGAATATTGGGTAGCAAATTGAATAATAATAATGATAAAAAAAAATTGAAAAAGAACAATATGGAATTTGGCCTAATTTGAATACTTTATTTTATAATTTAATTATGTCTTAATTTGTTGAGTTTAATGTTTGTACTTTGTTTTTACGCTTAGTTGATTGCTTTCTACAATTAATTATATTATATAATAATTTGATAATTATATAATAATATAATAATTAATTATATTATATAATATAATATAATATTATTATATAATAATTATATTATATAAAAATAGATTTTATAGCAATAGCAAACTATATGTTTTATAAAATATTTAGTATATAAAGTTGAATGTAAATTGTTAAAATATAAAGCAAGCAATAGTTAAAAGAAGAAAAAAAAAAAGTTTTTAAGTGTAATAATTTAAATAAATATAATTTAATTTATAATAGTTATAATTTTTAATATTTAAAGCAATACAGTCTTCATTTTCTTTTTATATTGGAAGCTTATAAAAGCTTCCATTTCAGAAACTCTTAAAGAGGGAAGATTTTTGTTAAGAATTTTTTTTTTTTTTTGATTATTACGGATCTTTACTTTTTAAGTGTTAATTTAGACAAATGCATGGCTTTATTGTCAATTCATGCCAATGGGACTTTAATTGGAAATAAAAATAATTTTTTTTTTATAAAAATTACTAAATTCACTAAGATTAACATTTTTTGCAAATTCCAAATAGAATTTGTAATATTTAGTTTAAGTTTATTCCAAATGTAATTTAATCTTAGACTAAGATAAATTTATGTAACTTTTTAAAAGTAAAAAATAGTTTTTTGATTATTTTTACTTTGTTGGTTTAGATTCGCCAAAAGTAATGAAGTCTATGCCAAGTATTAAATCTTCAAATCTTGATACCATATTTATAGATGAGCAGCTTCCAAGATCTCGTCCATCAAGTGGTCGTCGAAGTCAATTAAATTTAGATACTAAAGATTCTGAGCAAGATAAATTAAGCAAACAGAATTCAGTTCAAAAGTTTAATAATACAACTAGTAACCCAAAAGAGTTAGATGAACTATTTGATCTTAATATTAAACCCAAGCAAGCTAAGAGTGGGCGTAGAAGTCAGTTGGATTCAGAAGAATCAAGAACAAACACTGTAAGGGTTGTATTTTTTTTGATGGTTTAATCAATTTATTGTATGTATACAGTATGCTTTTTGTAGTCCTGAAGTTTTATACAGTTTGATTTTCATAGTCCTAAAGTTTGTATTTAGTTTTGTAGTTTATATTGTATGTTTACAGTCTGCTTTTTGTAGTCTTGGAAATTTTTGGAAAAAGATTGTTAAAGAGCAAGAAAATAGTTAATACAAGTTTAAGAAGAAGTAAAAAGAAAATTAAAAGTTTTTCAAGATTTTTAGCTGAAGGTTTTTTAAAGCATGAAGAAACAATCATAGCAAAAGTATAAAGTTTGCTGATAACAGGTCACACAAGATTTTTTGTAGGTTTTGTAGCCAAAATGTTAGTATTTGTAAAAAAGTGACTACAATGCTTTGACAAAGATTGGACTGCTAAGATTTGTTCCTACTGAGGTTTATAAAGTAAGAGAATGGTATCAGGAGTAAGAATTTATTCAACATTATAAAGGGAGGTGGGCAACTATATTGATCATAATTTGCAATATATTGGATATATGGTCTATAAGAGATCAGCATAGAAAAATAATCCAAGCATTGATGTAAACTAGATTGGTGTTGTCATTTGTTTTTAATGAAGTATCAACATTATTGTAGTAGTTACCAAAAAACAGTTTTAAGTTAATTGGTTTAATTATTAGCAAGTACAGCCACTTTGGTGCCAATATTGTCAGGAAGATCATTAGTGTAGATAAGAAACAATTAAGAATGGAACAATTTGATACTCCATAGGTTAATAAAAATGAAAAAAAAACTTGCCTATTAAGGGCAATTTTAGTATTGCAATCAGAACAGAAGGATTCAATAATTTTTCTAGATACACCATACGTAGAGTGTTTATGGAGAAGACCAGCATGTCAGGTGTTTTTATAACCTAGGAAAAAAAGTTCTATAGAATTTCTATAAACTTTTAAAACGTATGGCTTTTAGAAATTCTCTAGAATTCTATAGAATTTTTATAGAATCTCTGTTAATTTCTATATAAATTCCTATAGAACTTTTTTTCTATATAAAAATATTTTTTGTAGCAATTTCTATAGAAATTAATAGACATTTTATAGAATTTCTATAAAATGAAATTCTATAGAATTTCTATAAAATGAAATTCTATAGAATTTCTATAAAATGAAATTCTATAGAATTTCTATAAAATGAAATTCTATAGAATTTCTATAAAATGAAATTCTATAGAATTTCTATAGGTCATGTTTCAAAAGTCTCTAGAGCTTATCTTCTTAAATAAAACTTTTAGTAATCTGAGCTTAGGCACACATTAGACATTAGATATCTTTTTTTCATTTGTTCTCTGGATAATAATTTAGTTAAAAAATTGTTATAATTTAAAATATATAATATAAGCAAAGTTCAAGATGGAAAAAACTATGGTTTGGCTTATAATTGACAGTACAAGAATTAAAGCTTCCATTCCTGTCTGAATTCAAAAATTTATATAGAAGGCACACTTTTTAGCAGAGAGACAAAATGTAAAAAACAAAAACCACTGCAAAGAAAGTCGCAAAAGGAATCAGAATAAAATAGTGATAAGATATGTAATGTAAAGATCCAATACAGAAAACAAACAGTTAAAATTTATAGTTTTTTCTTTTTACAGTTAATTCTTAGATCATAGAGTGGTCTGAATCATCTAAAGAAGAATGAAGAGACACTGATCGCAAGCTAGAGTTAGAAACAAGGTATAAACAAAGAGGTAAGTGATTTGGGTAGTCTAGAAAATGTGTTAAAAATTTATCTGCATTTCTGAATCTTTTATAGTATAATGTTTATTAAGATAAAAGTTTCAAGCCTTAATGCCAACAAGATCTCAAACCAGGTTGAATCATGAACCTAAAAAAAACCATGATGATCCTAATTTGATGATGAACCCAAAAACAAGATCATGAACCATGCCAATATGATGAGCACTAAAGTCAGCAATGACAGCCGTATTGGGAGATAAATGAAAAAATGCCTTTACTAAATTGAATCTTGATAGTCTTGATAAAGAGGGAAATAAAGTGCAAAGGGAAAGAGGATTAAAAGAAATAATTGTAAATGAAACCACATAAAAGAATTGCCAGAAGGTTTAAAATTAATTATTAGTGGCATAAGGTAATTGTAAGAAGTACAATGATGGATTGAATGTAGAAAAGTATTATATAAAAGTTTTAGTGAGGTTGCAGGATGATGTGAACTACCAAAAGGAGAACAAGAAAAATGAATGGTGCATGTCTTATGAAAGACATATTCTGAAGTGTTTTTAATCTTATAAGCCTGCTCCATTCATTTGTTTATACATTTATACACATAAATTAAATATTTATATACATAAAGAACTTTTTTATATAACTTTTGTTGGAAAATAATATAATTTTTATTAAAAAAAAAATCAGATTATTATCGCTTTGGTAGTTTATGACATGTTATTTATTTAGCCATTGTCACCATTACTCAAGCAATCGAGTTTTAAAGATAGTCAAGAGTCATTAACAAATGTAAGCGAAAGAACAAAATTCAAAGAAAATATGAATGGCGATTTTGACCAGTTTCTAAAATCTATTGATAATTTCAAGTTTTGTCATAAGGGGCGTTTAACATCAAATTTAGATGATTGTAAGTAAATAATATAAATGCATATATATATATATATATATATATATATATATATATATATATATATATATATATATATATATATATATATATATATATATATATTATATCTTGTATAAAAAAGTATTAATGGCACAATTATAAATACTAAATATAAACATTTTTTAGATGAGGATGACGGTATAAGTAGCTTATTAGTGCCTATGAAGCAAAAAGATATTGAATTGTTGCAACAAACCAATGACACACCTAAAGAAGTTGCTAAAAGGTTGTTGTTGTTTTTTTGTATCTTTATTACAAAAAGAATTAATCAATTTGTCAGTTTTTAAACCAAAAAAAGTTTTTCTAATTTTAAGATAAATTTTAATGTTAGTTAATTAATTTACACAAAGGCACAGCCTTGTTGAGTGCATCATTAGCTGATTATATGCATCTAAGTCAGTCAGTTTTGTCATCTATGGTAAATGATGTAATTACCATAATTGAAAATTGTTCCATGGTAATTACCTTTAGTAATTACCATGGTTGAAAATTGTTCAGTACTTTTTAAAATTTGTCAACTTATGTTGCTTCAATAACATTATTTGACAAAGCATTCCTGTCATTGCTTACACTCAGAGGTTAGAATTCCACGATCTCTTTTGGATCTTTGACTTCTAAAATTACACTTTTGGCTGTGCTGTCGTCTTTGATCCATATAGTAATCAAATTTTATTGTTTTAGAATTAATACTTATCACTTTATATTTTTTTACGTTCATCTTCATTAGTCAGTTTTGGGTTCATTTAACAATCCAGATTGGGTTGTAAACTTTTAAAACTTGCTTTGTTTTCATTGTTTTCAACAATTTTCATAAGCTTTGTGTCAACTGTGAGCATTTTGCAAATGGCAGGTCATTAATAAATATAACAAGTAGCATTTGCATCATAATAGAACCTTTTAAACCCCACTAGTTAAAAAACCTTATTGAATATTTTGTAAAACCTTATTGAATGCCTTTGCACAGTCAAGAAAAATTTGGTTGAATGGTTGTTTTTTTTTAATTTGCTATGAGCCAAAAAGTTCACTGTTTCTAAAAAATTTGTAACGCAAGTTTTTTTTAAAACAAAACCGTGTTGAATTTTGAAAAGCAAGTTGTTATTGTTATTAAATCAAATGATTAATAAAGACTTGTCTAATTAATTTTTCTACTGATTGGGATGGTCAACACAGTAAACCATTTTTCAAAGTAACAATTTTTTTTTTAATATTAAATTTCATAAACTGAATTCTTCCTATATATTTTTCAAAACTACACAGGTTAACAAATATTAAGTTTTATGCTTGTAATTTATCTTTATTTATATGCTTTTAATTTTTTAAGCATTTTTTAATTACAAAATATTATATTATGTTAAATACCATAACTACCATAGTAAGTAAAATATACCTACTACAATTTGTTCTGCAAACTATTTGTTTTTAAATATTAAAAATAAATAGTTTGCAGAACAAATTGTAGTAGTTAACATAATAAAACAATATGTTAATATAATAAAATTTTTTTGTTTTATTATATTTGTTATGATAAAACAAACTGTATTAAATATTTGTTTTTTATATTTAGTCTGGAACGCTTTCAGTTGCCTGTTTTACCAAAAGGAAAAGAACTGATAATAAACATAAAATCAACATGGGGAGATCGGCATTATGTAGGACTTAATGGTATTGAAGTATTTACCAATAAAGGAAGTTTAGCTAAAGTGAAATCGGTAATTTGCTTGTTTGTTTTTGTTTTAACATATTTGTTTAAAACCTTTTTTTTTCATAAAATAATTTTTTTTTATAATTTTTTTGTTTATTTTTAACATGGTATATTAAAGTAACTGATTAATTTAACATTTAAATTTAATAGATTGATGCTTCCCCTCGTGATATCAATATTTTGCCAGAGTATGAAGGAGATCCAAGAGTTGTTAAAAATCTTATCGATGGTTGTTATTTGACAAGGTTTACTGAATTTATTTTTTTATATATTGTTAAATCTTTTTTAATTTTTTGTTCTTATTTTCTTTTTTAATCATTTTGCAAGAGCAAATAATATGTAGTTGACCTGAAGTAGATTATATGTAGTGTAAACACCCCAAGAATATTTGGTTAGTTATAGTTGATCTTAAATAGATTTTATGTTGTGTGCCAAGGCCAAGCATGTGGCTATTATAGTTGTTGCAAATCAAAAATAATAGCGATCAACAATGATGTCCGGAGATGGGTATTATCTTATTATATTGGTATTAGAAAGCAGCTAAATTTAAATTAGTCTTACCGAAAGAGGGTTTTATTTAGCAAAAAATTAGTTTTGATGGATGAAAAGCTACTTAGCAGGCCATAAATATTTATAAAAGATAGATTAAAACAGATTGGTGGCAATGATGGATTTTCATGGTTATATTTTGTTGTATTTTATCATGCTTTTAATATTTTTAGATACTATAATAAACGCACTAAGGCATCATCTGTTTTGATCTCGGAGCCAATAAATTGACTTTTAGAACTGTGCCATCATTAGGAAAAATTTATAGTTTTTATGTTTATCATGGTATCCAAGTTTATGTTAATAAATTTAGGATTTAATATTTAAAATTAGAATTTAGTCTAGATATTTATACAATATATACTTAAGTATTTTGCTAACAGATCATTGTATATTTACTATAATTTTTCCATATTATATTTGATGAAATCATTTAAATCATGTTTAAAGTTAGAGAACCTTTAATTTATTAATTTCAACATTTTTACAATAAAACATTTTTATAAAAACTAAAAAAAAATTCAAACATTGTTGTGTTTGAACTTTATAATTTGCAAATTATGCAAGTTAGTTTTACAAGTTATGATAAATAGTTTTAAAAGTAATGATAAATTGTTTTAAAAAGTATGATAAATAGTTTCAAAAGTGATGATAAATAGTTTTATTATTGAATGCTTTTGCTAATAATTATTGTATTGCTTTGAGTTTCTAAAAACATTTTTTTATTTTATATTAATAAAAAAAATTAAAATGCCAATATACTCTGTAGCTAATGCAGTATATACATTACAGTACAGTACGTTAATAATTTGATCTCCACTTAGTTCTGTAGTTTTCGATTTTCAACATTTACACAAAGTACAGTAATTTTTTGATTTTCTACATTTCCGATAATTAGGTACAGTCATAATTTGATTTTCATCATCTCCAACGACCAAGTTTTTTTGTTTTAATGTGATAATGACAACATTATGAAAATGATAAACGCTGTTTTATTTATTAAACCAAATACCTAATAATGTTGAATTGCATTCAAAAAAATATTATAAGATATTTTTTATTAACCTAAATACTTTTAATTGACATAATTACATAAATAATTTTCCAATAGTTTTCATAATTATCAAATCAAATTTTGTAATAAGCAACATACAACAAATCTTTTTTTTATGATTTGCTGTTTGGTAATCATTATTTAGGTGATTTATGGTAAAGGTGATTTATGGTAGTAATTTTTTTTTGTAATTTAAAAGCAAAGAGAGAGTAAATTTAAAATAAAAAAATTAATTTTTTTAAAAAATTAAATAGGGTTTGTGATCAAATCTTTCTCTTGGTATTCTTTTCTAAAAGAAGAGTTTCTAGAAAGAGTTTTTGAACAAATCTGTTCTCTCAGTATATTTTTCCACAAATAAAGTATACCTAGATATGTATTTATTTTATACTTATTTACAAGTATAAAGTATTTGTACTAGTGAAGCATTCCTACTGGATATACTTGTATTATTGGCTTAATTATGCATCAGTTTTATTATTTTTTATTATTGATAGTATTCTGATATTAATAGGTTGGGTAAATGATATTTTATTGGAAACTTAGTGTCCCATACATTCATATATATACATACTCTATTTAAGGTAAAAAATTAGAGGCTGTAGTTTTTGAAGAATAATTATTTAAGAACTATTTTTTTCATACAGACACTTTAGTATTTGTAATATAGACTCTTGCAGTCTTTGTTATATACTCTTGTAGTATATAACAGTCCTTGCAATTTAGACACCTACAGACATTATATTTGTTAAGCTTTCTTGTTAGATTTATTTTAATAAAATAATTGAACAAGAAAATATAGCTTGAAATATTTTTTTTATAAAATAATTCTAATTTTTCTAATTTTTTTTAGAGATGATTCTCATTTGTGGTTAGCACCTTTTACACCTGGTGGTGATCATTTTGTTATTTTAGAATTTGAGGAAGAAATTAGTATTGCAATGATACGAGTTTGGGTAGTTTATTTAATGAAATGATTTTTATAATTATAAGAGTATTTAATTAGTTAAAGTTTATTTATTTTCTTAATATGTTTTAGAATTATAACAAATCACGCATTCATTCATCTCGTGGGGCATGCTTTGTAGAGATGGCTTTGGATGGAAAACTCATATTTATAGGAGAAATTGCAAGGTATGTTTTACAGACTTTTTAAAGAAATATTTTTAAAATAAGTAAACAGAATAAAACTTATATTTTTTTTAGAGCTAGTGGTATTTTATCAAGCAGTGATCCTTATGGAGATGTTAGTTCATATATACTTATGTTGTTTTTTTAACATAAATAGTATTCTTGTTTAAATTTCTTAAAATTTTATTAAATTTCATTAATTTCTTAATAGATGTTAATAATTATCTTTTAAGAGGTTAATGAAATTTCATCATTGTTGTTAGATGATTCTTTTTACTACTGATGAAGAAATTCTTGAAAATGTTGCTGCAAATGATTCAACATTTTTAACTGAATATAATAACGAAGAAGAAGCAATATTGGCTTTATCTAGTGATTTTAATCAAAGGCCATCAACTGCAGACAAGATTGAAGTAAGTTTTAAATAAGTTTTTAAAGTAACTTAAAATTTTGGATTCATTTTTTTATTTAAATTTTTTACACATAAAGATTCAAAAATTTACTAATCCAAAATTTTTGAAGAAATGACAATATAAGTTTTGAAATTTATTATTATAATTATAATTCAAAAATTGATTTAATTATGATTACAATTTTGATTTCTTCTCTCTATTGACATCAAAGTTTTATTTAAATGTCCAATCAAAGTTATTCTTAAACTTCCAATCAAATTTCTCCTTAAACTTCCATTCAAAGTTCTCCTTAAACTTCCAATCAATATTCTGCTTAAACTTCTAATCAAAGTTCTCCTCAAACTTCCAATCAAAGTTCTCCTTAAACTTCCAATCAAAGTTCTCCTTAAACTTCCAATCAAAGTTCTCCTTAAACTTCCAATCAAATCCAATCAAATGTTGTTAAACTAATACACTAACTTCCTTGAGTGAATGAAATAAGTTTCTAATTCAAATTGAATGTAAAAAGTTTCTAATTCAAATCTAATGAACTAATATATTGGTATCAGGTACCACCTGAAAATCAAACATCCTACTGACTATGCTAAAATGACAAAGGCTTGATCTTGAGCACCAAAGGACCAAGGGAACTTAAAAAAAAAAATAAAAGTACAAGATATCATTGCTTAATAATATTTTTATGGAAACTGTGCAAAGGTCAATCAAAAAAGATGTTGGCAGTTGTCAACAGGCAGCCATCATCACATATGGTTGAATTCCTATATGATTCTAACACTTCACTATATCAATTATTTTATGTAATCAGTTATTGATATTTATGTAATCCTTTGAAATCAAAATATAAGTTCTAAGTTAGTCTAAGTTTTACTTATCAGAATTAATTTGTTTGATAACTCTTATCTCTTTAAATCACTTCTTTTCTTTTTTGAAATTGTGAAAATTATTATTATTTTTTTATTTTTGTTATATAAAAGTAGCTCATAATTTTGTAATTTATATATATATATAATATATATATATATATATATATATATATATATATATATATATATATATATATATATATATATATATATATATATATATATATATATATAATAAACAGTTTTATTCATTAAACCAAACAACTATTAATTATGCACCGATTCCTAAACAACTAAAATGTTTAATATTAAATATCTTAAATACTTGATATCTTCAATTTAAAATTCTAAAATCTTCTTAATCTTAAACCACCAGTTTAGCCACCATTTAACCACCAGTTAAATCACATGTGAGGTCTTTTTTAAACAAGTTTTGTTTTATTTTATTTAATAATGTTTGTATTACAAACAAAAACACTTATTGTATCTGTTTTTTGTACCCTTTTATAAATTATTTTGAATTATATACAAATATTAGGGTTATAAGTTTTTAAGTTTTTTTCCCTAAAAAAAAAAATTTGTTGTACCATAAAAGTATGAACTTTTGCCTTAAAATGATAAAATAAGTCCTTTTTTTTAGTTAAAGAAATGTTAAGTTTTTAAAGTAACAAGATCTAACAAGATTGCTTTATTACGTCTTCTCTTTTTCATTTTCACTTTTTGAATCTCTATGACTTATTCAAACTTTCCAGACCTTTCTATATATACATATATGAATGCAGCAGATTAAAAACACTATGATGTTAAACTGAAATAAGTAGCTGTGAAGGCTTTAGTACATATATAGACTTAATAGGAAGAATAAGCAAAGAGTTCCATAACATCAACTAAGACATAACAACTAAAATATAACAGTTGGAAACTAGATTTGTATGAATATTTATTGCATATTGTTCTGCAAATGGGTTCCTCATATATATGTGTGTATATATATATATATATATATATATATATATATATATATATATATATATATATATATATATATATATATATATATATATGTGTGTGTAAATATACATATACATGTATTTATATACATATATATAAATATATATAAGTTTTATATTACTACAGTCGCCTAAAGGTCGTCCATTTACCTGCCCAAAATACAGAGAACCAGTTTCACCAAAGAGTTTCAAACCATTGTCAATTAAAGAAGAATCTTTTGAGTTAAATGGTAAAAATTTAATGAACATTATTTCTATATTCTATATAAAAATTTAATAAACATTGTTTCTATATTTGTCTTGTATGTCATTTTATTATACTTTCACATTATTATATATTTTATTCATTTTATATTTACCTTTGTGAGCATTTATTTTCTTATAGTTTTTTATATTTATAAGCCTGAAAATCTTATATTTCAATAAAATTTTAATTATTTATCTCTATAATTTAATATCTTTGCACATTCATGCACTTGTTTTACTTTTATGTTTTTATGTGTTTTTTGCATCTCTATTAAATTTTTAACAATAAAAATTACAAATTTTTTTCAGATGATCTACCAACTGTAGAAAATAAAAAAGATGATATTTTTGATGGAGATTTTTGCTTCTGTCAAGGTATTTACTTTGGTTCTTTAAAAGCAGTACCAAAAATACTAGAATGGTTAAAATACTTTTTTAGATAATTTTTCTAAAATTTCATAAACAAATATATTAACTGTAATTTTTTTTTTTTAACTCTTCAGTTATTTTTTTATTTACTTTCATTGTTTTTTATTTTACAACTCTTATAACTCTGAGATAAAACTAAAATGGAGATAAAACAAAAATGGAGATAAAAATAAAATGGAGATAAAACTAAAATGGAGATAAAACTAAAGTGGAACTTTTAACTTAATTTTAAATGTATTTTAGTACTTTCAATTTTCTTTTCTTCAACTTGGGGAGATCCACACTATCTTGGTTTAACAGGTTTAGAAGTCCTTGGTGAAACATTTGAAAAAATTCCACTTAGTTTGGATATGCTTGAGGTATGGCAGTTTCTTTAGACATTTCTTTTGTTTACTTTTACTTTTAGTTGTTTGTGATTTTTTATTTTAAATCTTTAGGCAAGTCCAAGAGACTTAAATGATTTGGAAGAGTACGGAGAAGATGACAGAACACTGGACAAGTAATCTTTTTGTAAATATAATAAAATAGTAATTTTCTTGAAATTAATAACTAAAGATTTTTAAATAAAATATATAAGTTATTTTTGTGAAATGATTTGAATCCTTTAGGTTAATTGACGGTGTAAACCTTACTATGTCTGATGAACATATGTGGATGATTCCATTTGATGAGGAAGGAACACATATTTTAAAGATAAATTTTAAACAATCAACAGTTATAACTGGTATTCGAGTTTGGAACTATAATAAATCTCCAGAGGATACATTCAGAGGAGTAAAAAATTTTTTTTTTTTTTTAATTAATCTGAACTCCATTGTTCCAAGATACTTTTAATATTTTATTTTCTTGTAAATGTTTTTATAATGCATTTTATTTCACAATTTATATTATTATTGTAACATATTAGTTAGTTTTAGAGTGAAAATAAACAAATTTTTGTCAATTTTGCAAAAGTTATTTTAAGACTTTTTCTTAATGCATATATTTTTATATTGCATTTACATATAATTTATATATTTTTTCCATTTTATTTTATGCTATTTTTATTTAATTAAAGGCTAAAAGTATACATGTTTATATGGATGATCAAGAAGTGTCACCTCTAGAAGGATTTCTGATTCGTAAAGGTTTTATGCTTTAATGAGTATCTGTGTTTTTTATTGTTAATTAATTTTTTTAATCTAATTATTTGAGTAATTGTTTAGGTCCAGGTCACTGCCACTTTGATTTTGCACAAGATATTATTTTTAATCAATATCATATAGACAGTTTTAACACGGATTTTTCGCGGTAGTTATTTTAATTTGTATGATTTGTATTTTTGTTTATTTTTTAATATTTAGTTTTGATTTTAATTTTTTGTTAAGCGGAAAAAAAATTTTATTGTGCAGAAATTTTTTTTTATTGTGCAGCCATCGAAAAATTAATTTACAAAAAGTAGTGAACGAGTATGAGCCAACTATCATGCCTTGTGGCTGTATCTTTTATTTTTACTAAGTTATGTTTATTTTTGTTTTTATTGTATAAAGTTAATAAATCTTTTTATAAACTAACCAATATATATATATATATATATATATATGTATATATATATATATATATATATATATATATATATATATATATATATATATATATATATATATATATATATATATATATATATATATATATATGTATATATATATATATATATATATATATATATATATATATATATATATATATATATATATACACATATATATAGCCTTTTATTACTTTATTCGATGTTAGAAACTTTTAAAAAACCTATTAAGGAGTCGTTTTAAACAGTTCCTAGTAAAACTGAAATATTCTCATGTGTACAGAAATTTTTTTGGTTTTAAATATGTATAAAGAGATCTTAAACAATAAATTATTAACAGAAGTTGCACACACGAGGGGTGCAAATAAGGGCAAAAGCAAACACAATGGGTGGTATACCTGATTCTAACATTGATTTATCTCAAGTTTAACTATAATTTCATCACTTTTGTTGTTTTTTTCAGAGTTTTTTAATTTGTAGTCATTTTTCAAGATGACCATAGGCAAGTTAAGTGATGATGTTTAGTCAAATAAAATCCTTTTTTATGTCTTTCAAATACACAAAACTGCCTTTACCAGCATGAAAGTAGACCAGATAACTATAGACATATAAGTTATTGATAGCTCAATAAAAAGAGCAAATGAATTACCAATCAATTGTCAGATAAAAGTTATTCTAAAGTTGCTAAGAAAATCAAATATCTGGCTGAAATGATGCAGAAAAAGAGAGTGCAAAAGTATGCAAATCTGATTGTAAATTAGCTGAATTGGATGGAAAGGCAAAATCAAGAAAAAAAAGTGAAGTGAAAGCAAAAAAAATGGGGACATGAATTGTTCAAAATGCATTGTCAGCAAACAAAATTGAAGGTTTAAATGATGATGAGCTGAGTTGCGTTTTATTTCAGAAATCTAAAGCCAAAACATTATAGACATTATATTATATTAGATATATAGACATTATAAAAGGAAAAATTAAATGAATGCAAATAAAAAAAGGTGTGAAAATCATGTAGAGGCATTAAATGATAGTCAACTGACAGCAAACAGGCAAAAAGAGACTGAAATGGTAAAAAGGATTCAACAGTAAACTGCTTTGTTAAAATCAAAAGCCTTCAACAACTGATATAAGTATTATAACTGTGGACCAACAAACCAGTTATGTGTCAACTGACAGCAAACAGATTTAATGTATTTATGTGACAGCTAATGTAAGCAATATTACTGTGACAATGTGACAACTAATGTAAGCTGTGACAATGTGACAACTAATGTAAGCAATATTACTATAGCAATATTATTGTGCATAGAAACAGTATTTGGAGAACCTTCAGTCAATCAAAATTGCTAGGTGATGTGAGGGTAATATTATATATATATATATATATATATATATATATATATATATATATATATATATATATATATATATATATATACATATATATATATATATATATATATATATATATATATATATATATATATATATATATATATATATATATATATATATATATAATATATATGTGCATGCTAAATATTTATTAATTAAATAAATATTTCAGCTTTTACTTAATTATTTAAGAATTATGGTTTTTTTTTTAAAATTTACTTAAGAGTTGCTTTATTTAAAATGCGAATTGGCATACAACTTGTTTGAAATAAAGTTCTAAAAAAACAATATATGAAATGGCAGACTCTGAAAAAAAGTTTTCAATCAAAATTTTAACACCTTTGTAAATTAAAATTTTATTTTAAAAAATAAGCTTTGAGCTTTAATTACTTGCTCTTTAGCAATATCAATTTTTTTTTTGCTGGTTGCTCTGCACATCTTTTTTTTTTTAATAAGTCTTTGATAAAATAAGAATTTAATAAAATAAATCATTTTTACTTTAACTTTACTAATATTTCACTGTTTTAAAATCCTCCTTCAAAATCCTCCCATAATATAATTAAATTGAACCCTTTTTTTCGAGACTGTCACCAATTTTTTAAAATTTTTTTCACTATTATTAACTATTCTCAGAGCCTGCCATTTTAAATAATGCAGCCATTTTTTTTCTTAGAACTTTATTTTAAACAAGTTGTATGTTGGTGCTTCCCATCTTCACAAAAATCTTAAAAAAGTTTTTTTTTTAGCAATTCTTGAATAAGTTTTAAAAATAATTAAAAAATAATATCTCAAAATTTCCCCAGAAAATTTTCTAATAATTTTTAAATCTGAAAGGGTAAATTTTCGTTTAGAAAAAATTCTTTTTATACTCAATGACACAAGAATATTCAGTAGATTAAGTGACGTTTGATTTGTATATACATGTAAATGTCACTTAATCTTATAATCGTACATTTTACAAAGTATATATTTTAACAGCTATATTACATTTGATAAAATAAATTTTGAACATTATATATTTTACAAATATATAATCTCCATATAATATATATATATATATATATATATATATATATATATATATATATATATATATATATATATATATATATATATATATATATTACTCATTTTGAATATTATACATTTTGTTTAACAATAAAATCTTTATTGTTTTTAATAAAAAGTTGAAAAATTTACTTTACCAGTAAATTTTCCATATAAATTTTACCTTTGCAACACTAACACATTTAAATTTTATAGATATTTTCTAGGCAATTGTTAGTGTCTGTGTTTACTGCTAAGACCTAAAATGATAATTTTTGTTTAACACCATTTTTATGAAAAAATTTGTTTTTTTTTTTGTATCGGTTTTATCAAAACGATATTTTTTTACTGTCTCTTGTTTCATGTTTTGAAACAGGTGTCTAGATGTTGCAATTATAAAATCTGAAAAGCAAGAAAATTCTGTAAAGTTTTTTTAATGCAAACAGTTTTGAGAAGTTGGAATGAACTCTATAGACTGTGATTTATATGTTTAAATGATATTTAAATGATGTTCTGAACACATTTTTGTTCTGTTGGCAACACGTTAGAAAAAATAAAATAAAATTTATTGGTGAAAAAAACAAAAGTTTATGGTTTTATTATAATTTGTTGATTGAATCGGTTGGAGAGCTAGCTTAAGTATAATGTGTCAAGACCATAAGTCGACCATGTGTAGACTATGTTTAGACCATGTATAGACTATAAATCTCTCAAGCAAGGGTTTAATGCACAAAAATATCAACAGTTTATGTTTTGGAACTTTTTTTATTATAAAATAAAAACCTTAACATTTTTAGTTGTATTTCAATTAAATCTTTTCTCTTCATGGGGAGATCCGTATTACATTGGTTTAAATGGTTTGCAAGTTTTTGACAAGCATGGTAAAGAAATAAAGCTGACAGATAACAGTATCTTTTCATTTTTAATTTACAAAGACTACTATAAATAATCTTTTGGAGTTTTTTATTTGATTTTAATAAAACAAAATAAGAGGTTTTGAGTGATGGTTTTCAGTTAAAATGAAACACTTTGAAAAGAATTTGTAAAAATTAACAGTGATTTGTAAAATACGAGCGCGCTCTTGAAACAGAAGAATTGAGTGAAACAAGTTAGTAATTTGGAAACAGAAAAGCCAAGATTCTGTAGCATTTCAGCTATTTAAATCAATATTAAAATTTGACCACAAAACTGTTTGAAATCAATTGGTGACAGAACTTCATGTTAAATTTTTTTTCATTTATATGACTAATAGGTAATTTATTTTCCTTAATAGTTGGAGATATTACGGCTTATCCTTATAGTGTAAACATTTTGGATGGTGTTGTGGATGATGCTCGGACACCTGACAAACTTATAGACGGTATCAATGATACTTACGATGGAAGTCACATGTGGCTTGCTCCTATTTTACCATCACATGTTAGAATTTACTTATTTTTTTATTTTACTTGTCTGAAGAAAACAAAGAAATTGTACTTTTAACCAATGTCACTTACAGTTCACATTTTATTTATAACGTGTTGAGCCAGTGATCTTTTCAAATTTTTTTTTTTTTTTTTTTTGTAAATTAGCTTAACATTACATTATAAAAATTTATATTTTAGATAAACATTGTGTACATTATTTTTGACGAGCCTGTAACTATTTCTATGGTCAAGCTTTGGAATTATAGTAAAACACCAAACAGGGGGGTTCGCCAATTTGCTGTGAGTAGTTGTTATTGCATAGATTTGTTAAAAGCTTTTTTAGTTGTAGTAAAACAGGTATTAATGCATTTTTTTTATCATTAGTTACTTGTAGATGATCTATTGGTATACAGTGGTGTATTACCTCAATGTGGCGCTTATGCTCGTGGTATTGTACCTGGTTTACAAGTTCCTCTGATGCATTATACAATTCTTTTCACTGATAATGAAGAAATAGCAATGAAAGAACGAGGACATATTTTAAGGTTTTAATTTTTATTTTTGAACAAGTTAAACTAATGAAATATTTTTTTTTAATGTTTTTATAATTAATCAATTATATTTATTTATAGTTCAACCGTTGAAGAGCAAACTGTAAAGTATACTAACGAACGTTTAGAGTTAGGTAATAAGAACGAAAAAGTTAAAGAAATACCAAAAGTTGATCCGGGTAATTTGTTTATGTTTTTTCTTCTTATCTTTTTTGCATGTGTTAGTTTTAATTTTTTTTTTTTTTTTTTTTTTTTTTTTCTGTCGTGACGTTCATTATTTTAGCTATGCGTCCAAAGACATCTGTCAAATCTACAAATAAAGTATCTTACTGACCATTCTTATACTTAAACATTAAAGTGCACTAAATGTTAATTTTGTGATTGAGATATGGTACAAACGACAAATTCTCTAATAGAAAAGTTGTTTTAAAGTGAATTTTAAGCAATTAAATCAGTCTTTCATTCACCGAAAAAAACTGGTTTACACTAGTTTCCGTCCTGTGAAGAATTTAAAACGTTCAGGCTACGTTTAAGGAAGTTTGTTCACACGATACAATTTAAGTGATTGCATACAGAATATTTAAACGGGTTAACGTGTTAATCGTTGCGTCTGTTTTTATCGTAAAATTTCTAAATTTTGTAAATAAATGTAAAATATGAAACTTATATTTAAAGTTTGAAAAAACAAAACCATTGTCTTTTGTTATATAAATACTCATTTAATATTGTGTTGTATTTTTTTGAGATTTTTTGAGATTTTTTTTTTTTAATAGAAGTAAAAAATTAAAAAAATAAATTTAATTTTGTAGTAGTTTATAGCCAAATATTATTTCGCCAAACACTTTTTTTAAAAGATAATGTATTTTAAAAGATAATGTATAGTTATGTATTAATAATTTAATATCAAATCTTTCCGACTCAACCAATTCATACGCGGTAAAAAAATAAAAACAACAGCTTTACACAAAAATTTACCAAAATATTGCATTTTACTTAAATCTTGCTCATTTTTTGATTTACTAATAAAACTATAGTCTTATCCGTAGCCATCTCTCATATGTTATATTAGTCATCTCTCATATGCTGTATTATAATACAGGATATGAGAGATGACTAATATAACATATGAGAAATGACTATGCTTAGAGTTTTGGCTCAGAACCAAGAGATTCGTGGTTCGACGCCGGCTATCGCCCAAAAAGCGACATTAGTTAACTTTCTGGTTAAATGCCCGGTGCTCTGTGATAAGACCGATATGTCCTCTTGGAGCACAAAAAAACTCAAAACTATTTTAACTACAAAGCATTCAAAACCATGCTTGTAGAGTAATGCGTTATTTTTTATTTGTTTATTTTTTTTTTAAACATCTTCGCTTCCAATAAAGCTGCAAGCAACCACTAATTAGAGTTGGAAGTTACTGGAAGAGAAAAGATGAATATTGTAGAGCAAGATAACGATTGACATACGACTTAAAAGATTGCAAATTATATGAATCAGGAAAGCTAGATGAAGGAAGCGAATTCCAAAGAACTGATGTTCGAGGAAAAAAGCTTGACGAATAAGAGTTTTTGGAGCACTTAAAAAGCTATTCCATACAAGAACGGATTTGAGATTTATAGAGATAGAGAATAGAATCCGGAGTAAGAAATTGTTGAGCTTGATAAAGAGATGCAATTTTAGCAGATGCTAACTTTGCAACATTTGATATATGGTTTTATATAGATATTGCAACAGATTTGATATACTGTTTATATATAATATGATATAAGTAGGATTGATAACTCCCATAGTCAGATAAAAAAATTTGAATTTTTACAGCAAAACCTGAATAAGGTTTGTATTTTTATGTTTTAATGTAAAAATAACATGCTCCTGAATTCTTTACAAGACATATTCTCGTCAACTTTTTCTCAAAGTTTTAATATGCATTTCAAACAGTTTCAACAACTATTATCCTGATAAAAATAAAACACGGTATTTATCTGTTTCAATTACGTTACAAAGTCCCAAGAATTGGAAAAACTTAAGCTATAAAAGTTTGAAAAACTTAAATGGACTATTGTCGTTTAAATGAACAAAACTGCATGTTATTGAATCTTAAATGATGTTTTTATTTAAAAAAAAAGTTAATAAAAGAAAACATAAAACACTTAAATTTACCGTAAGCTTTATTTTTTACGACTATACAAAAAAAAAGCTATATATAAGTCAGATTTAAAATAATTTTATTCTACTTTTTATTATACTTCTGACTAGAGGTATATATTTCAAGACGTATTTTGCCGACTGAATCTAATTGCTGACGTATGACATTTTCGTAGTTTTGCAAAAAAAGTTAAATGATAACAGTATGTAAAATTTGCTAGTGTTTTATAGCTCATAAGATTTTTTATTTAGTGTAATACAAATTATCAATCTTGATTTAGTAGAATATGAAAAAGAAAAATTAGTAGAATAGAAAATGAAATTAATTAGAAAATGAAATTAATTTAGTAGAATAGAAAATGAAAAAATATAATATAATAGAAAACAAAACAAAAAAAGTTTAAAGGGAAAAAGTGAATTTTATGGCAAGTAATCAGGTTTCAAAAATATTGGCGCAATATATTTACGGTGTGTTAAATATAAAAGCAATATTGCACTATTATCGTTTGCTACTCGGGTAGTGGAACAAAACAGCGAACCTAAAAGCGCAGGAAAATGGTGACCAAGTTAACCCAAAAACTCTATAGCCATGCAAAAAACTAACTCTATAGCCATGCGAAAAACTATAACATGAAAAACTTTTGATTTTAAAGAAAGTCATTTATATTATTAGCATTTTCATGTGACATAGTGTTATTGTTTCAGATGAGAACTATAAGCAAAGTGGATATTTGAAACATTTGAAGTTAAACTTCAAATGTTCCAAATTTCATTATTGCCCATTAAAATGGAGTGAAAATAACATTTTTCAGAAATACAACTTTTCTCCCTGATTTTTATATTAGCTATAGGAAAACTACAAAAAACGAGATTAAAATGACCAAGAATTACCCCCTGCAGCAATTTTTGACTAATACTTCTTATTGGTCGCGCAAATTTTACATTAAAAATTATTTTTTTAAGTAGAAGTAACAAAGTGAAAATATATTTGTATGCTTGAATTATCCATTAGTATTATTAGCTAAAAAATCACTATCGTATTAAAAAAGTTATTAAAGTTTTTTAAAATATATTTAAAAAAAAGATTTTTCAATTGAAAAAATTGAATATTAGCCATAAAATTTAATAAAATACGTGCTCCACTCGAAGTTTCAACACAAACCATTTTTTTAAATCTTAGTAAGAATATTTTGTTTGTAAATAATAATTTTATTTATAATTGAACAATAAACTCGTTATATATATAATAAATACACTTATTAAGAATTTTAATTAATCGAATATGGTTTGTGTTGATATATGTTTCTATAAAAAGTTTAATACTTTGCTTTTTAATGTTTAATACTTTACTTTTTAATACTTATTTTATGATAATACTATAGTATACTAAAACTTTGCTAAATATATTTCAGAAAATAGAATGTTAAGATCTAAAACAAATCATCCATTCTTTTGATTTTCAAAGTTGCTCTCTGAGGTGCAACTGCCAATAGGACAAGATGTGATGTGGCATATGATGTATTTGCGCGGAAATGTAAGCAACCTATACTACATATCGTTTTTTCAAATAATATTAAAGTAATATATAATCATAATTTATACTTTAATATTATTTGAAAAAACGATATGTAGACAAAATTTTACATAAACTTCCTGGAAAAGCTAACAAAAGAATTAATTAGCTTCAACAGTTTTGCAGGTCTTAAAAATTTTGAGGAAAATGCAACATACCTACTGTGTCATCATTTACATCATTGACGAAGAGAGTTTATAACCTATTAAAAGCTGAAAAAATTCCAATTGCTGACAGATAAAACAATTTCATTTCTTTGATATATCTGCTTGCCAATGAAAAATGCTGACAGAGAAAATAAAAAAATTAATTTTAGTTCTTTGATATATCTACTTGCAAAGATCTAAAAATATGGTGTTGTTCCAAATTTAATATGGTACCAGCTATGAAACACGCTTTTCTGGTAGATCAAAGGATTGAACGTAAAATAGGTATTGCATCAATTGAAAAAGAAGTTAATAGAAAACTACAGAATACCAAAACAGAGCTGAAACCTCAATGATGCAGTGCCACTAGATTCTATTGTTCTGCCACACCCGGTGCTTTAAAACGTGAGACGTGAGTGCATGAAAACCAGGGACAACTTGAAAATTAGTGTATGTTTTTTTTTATGCATTGGTAGGGGTAAATTCATAAACCCACAAAAGGTTGTTGGAGCAGCATGTCCCGTTTCTATTTCTCTTATGGCAATAGTGGATCTCGTATTAACATCCAATTGATATTGCCCACCAGATCCATCATCGATTTCTTTGCGAGAGTAAACTTTATTTACTCTATGAGCAGAAAGAGGTTGTACATATAAATGCAAATAAAACAGACTGTCTTTTCTTCCTTGAAAAATCTGTAGAAAGTTTAATACCCCTTGATTGAAATTGAGGAGACAACAATTTCGTATATGATATTTTTAAAAGCCAAGCTCTCTAACATGATGTACAGACAACAATTTCGTATATGATATTTTTAAAAACCAAGCTCTCTAACATGATGTAACACTGTGGAAAATTCCATTCGATTAGGTAATGAAGTATGTTTTGTTGAAGTTGATACTGATTTACTAAGGTTTCTTTGTTGATACTGATTTGACAAAGTTTCTTTGATATTGTTAAAGCATTAAAACTACTCGTCGTGAGTTTAAAAAAAGTTATTTACAGAGACAATGTTGAATTCTTATAAAAGAGAACTTGAACTTTTTCCATGAAAACATCGTTTTTTGAAAATTCTTGACCCACTTGACCTAAGTGTTTTTCCAAGATCAACTTTTTTATTTTCAATAACAATTATTATTTTCTAAATTTAAATAATAACCATAAAGTTAATAAATACATAAGCATGGCTAGTAACAGGAATTAAATGTATTATGTTTACTTAAGACACAGATTAATATGTAAATAAAAAATTTATCTACTAGCAGCAAAATCAAACTTCTGATAAATTTTTCAAATATAACTATGTTTCTACTTTTGGTTATACTTTAAAACTGCATGTGAATACCCTGGGTTACTTTTAAAAGTGTATCAATGATTCAAAAAAAATTAAATAAATATTTCTAAAAAAATCCAAGTAAAAAGTTCTTATAAAAATCGTTTAAATTAAACGTCACAATTTTTTTTTACCATCTATGTGTAATGATGAAATTATATAATTTCTAATATTTTTATGAAAACAAATATCACCACCATTTTCTATGTATATGAAATAGGGGAAAACAGTTAATTTCAAATTTTGAAAATTTTCATATTTCAAGGTAGACAACCACTTTAATAAGGCCACTTCTTTTTTACACCAATCTCAAGTTTAAGGTAACACATAACTCTTTGAACTTTTTAAACTCAATTGCTAACCCAAAAAAGGCTTTGTAAATAAAAATATATTTTTGATTTTGTTACCTTAAATACTGTTGAGTCCCTTATATAAACTCGTTGTTTTACTGTGAGTGAATTTTTCAATTATTGATCATTGTTCAATACTCCAAATCTTTTTTAATATTATCATTTATCCAGAACCGTAAAGTAATTTTTTGCGTGTGATTACTACTTCAGGCAAAGTTTCTATTTTTCCATTTACACAAGCTATTAGGATCCTTAGATCACATTTTCAATCTTTTCCTTTTTAGTTAAAGAATCACAGACTGTCGAATAGTCATACCAAAAATCATTTTGTATTCTATTAACTGCGCGTTCTTTTAATATTATCTTTTCAGTTAACCAAAACCATGATGTTAATCTTTTCTTTAACTAATACTATAAAGAACATCATTTACTGTTAAAAAAATCATTTAATGTCGAGAAAAATATTAATCTCCAAAATAAATAAAAAAATAATTGTTAGTCAAATCATTTTTTTCTACTTATTGGTTAAAGGTCACCAACATTGTCTGGTTTTAGGAGCGAATGTGTATTGCATTTCATTCAAAGTAAACTGGATGATTCTGTTTTTTTTTCATCATTCTACAGTCCCTTCAATACTTACGCATAACATGTCCACGTAATTAATATTAGCCATCTAAAGAAACTCAGGTTTCTTAAGATGGCTAATAGCAATTACTTTAGGTAAGATTAGGCAAAAAACCTATTTTGCCTAACCTTACCTAAAGTAATTACTATTAGCCATCTAGAGTTAATTAGGTTATTCAAAAACTAAAAAAAAGTTTTTTGAATAACCTAATTCTTTTTAATGAATCATTAAATGGAATTATTTGGAAAAGATGTCCAAAGGATATTTTTTGTTGGAGGAGACACTTTAGAAATTGGTGTCTCATCTGCAATCATAAATTCTAATGAGGGATTAAATAGAGTGTTAAATGTATTTGACATGTTAAATATGTATAATGAAAAATTTACAAAAGAATTTTGCACAAAAAAAGATTGTGCGAAAGTCATTCATGAATCACAAGTTTACTCTATAAGTCAAGCATAAACAAATAATAATAATAATAATAATAATAACAATAATAATAACAATAATAATAATAAAAGACCCCAGCGTAAAGGTTTTGCAGATGCCTTTGAAAAAACCGAAAGATTAGTATGTGAAACTGTTTATTTTTTGTACATTGTCATTTGACAATAACTAATTAACTGGTTTGGATATATATATATATATATATATATATATATATATATATATATATATATATATATATATATATATATATATTTTCAAGTGGTTTATATAATTTTAAGTCATAAAAAAAACATTTCTAAAGCCAATATATATTTGAAACAGTCTGTTTTGCAAAAATAATGCTTTCTTAATAAAATTTGTAAATAATCGGTTTAAGTTAGACTGAAGCCATTTATTAAGACTGAATGAAAAACTGGTTTTTCTAATTTTTTTCTGCTTTTCTCAAAATGTGATTTTTGGAAACGGTGCGATAAATAACTCTTTTCAAATAAGTGCTATAGACCTGAAATTTGGTACACTGATTCTATTATATATTATCTATTGGCTGAATTAACACTTTTATTTTACTTTTTTGGTTCTTTGGTAAATTAGACCCAAAATCTGCATTTTGGGTCAAAATTTGGCTGCCATTTTTTGATTATCATTTAAACAAAAACTTTTCAATAATTTTTTTTTCTTTTAATTCAGCCAATTTAACCTTCTTATTAGACGATGTTTAAAAAAATCCAGCCATGTATCTTGAGTTATTTATTGCAGCATAGTTTTTGGTCTCGCGGACCAAAAAACAGTGTTTTAAAACCAAATTTGAAAATTTTAATGAAAATTCCATAATTTTTAAGGTTTTTTACTTTGTTACCAAGTAGTGAATTTTTTGATAAGTAATTATAGGAATTAATTTTCAAGGTTGACTACCACCTTAAGACATATGGGAGTAACATAAGCTAAACTTTAAATAATTTTGTCGGTTTTATTAGTTTACCATCTTTCAGTGTGTTGTAGTTTACCATCTTTCAGTGTGTTGTAAACCTAGTATGTCAGCTTATTGAAATTATTCCTTTTATTCAGGGCGGATTAATTTCAATAAACAAATAGGTTTTAAAAAAGCAAAAATACAAAACTTAAACATAATTCCTTTTTGAAATTCACGTTGATGAGTAAAAAACTCGTCTAGTTAATTTTATTAGACAAAATTATTTTGAAACTTGTTTATATTAACTCGATTTAAAAACAGTTTTTTTTTAAAATCAGTTTGATGAAGATTTTTATTTAAAAATAATTACTGTTTATATTCGCGATAAACAGAGAAGGAGTGGGAGGGAGGGGGGGAACGCGCGCGAAAGGGATAGTTTATCCCAAGCGGCAGATATCCAAGGGGCGCCAAATGAAAAGAGCGTACCTAAAAGAAAGCAAACAAAAAAAACTAACTCCTTTATCTATAATATAGGGAAATTTTAATAAATAAGGGCGCCAATCAGGGTTGCTGTCCGAGCGTGACGGCTCTCAGTAGCCCTGGCGATAAATATTTATTCATAAATTAGTTAATATGGAAATGTTCAACGTAAACGAAAATATAACTACCAAAAGTTGAATCAAAATTCTTTCGTGAAAAATATTACACCTTTAAACAAAAACATTAACTAAAAGAAATAGTTAAAAAAAAAATGGAACAACTAATTAACAACTTTCAATTAAATTTTTTAAAAAGTTTTTTCATAAAGATTAGCTATATTATATATATCACTATAACTAAACAGTTTTCGTTATAGTAGAAAATATAACAAGTAAAAAGATGTAATAAAAAACAGAATAAAAAAAGTTTTCTTTAATCATACAGACCTAAATACTTAAAAATAATATTAATAAAAAAATATCAGATCAAACATTAATACCCTAATGCTCTTAAAATAATACATCCAAAAAATAATAACTAAAAGTTAGTACGTATAAAATCACATTAAAAGAAAAAAAAACTTCCCCCAAACTAAAAAAATAAGAACTTAGATACATATCATTCACATATATATATATATATATCATGTTGTACTCATCAACCCGTATATACAAATAAATATTTTCTTAAAAGTAAATAAATAAAGACAAAACTATAAACACTTTTCAATCCTAAAAAACAATAGCGCACTACTTTAACTCAATAAATTTAATTTTTAATTACTTATGGAAATAAGTATCAGAGGCCTGGAAATAATTATAAAGATATATGAACTGTAACATAATTATGCATATACAGGCAATAAAATGATGGAAAAACTTATTTATATATTAAATTAAAGCACATAGCAGTATGACATCATCTTTATGCTCATTCAAAATTAATGATCTTCATTTTTTAAGATTGTTTTTTCGTCATATTTTATATACTAGAGCCCTATAAACTGTTTTCCTTAACTTGCTATTCAATATTGTTTTTTCTTTTTTCCCTAATTTTCTTGAACCTAATAAATATCTTCGTACATACTTAACTTCTTTTAAAATTATTTTATATAAGATCAAAAAAATATATATCTAAGTATCGTCATCTGTATCCAGTAACAGTGGTGTATGGCCATGTTCGTATGAATAATTATTAGGAATGGTACTGTCTCTTATAGATGTTTGTCTGTCAGGTAGAGTTACTTGATAGCTAACAGTCTCCTTTCCATCGTTTCTAATAGATGACTCAACGTTTACCGATCTATTTACTCCAGCATAATGCTGATAAGCTGGAGAAAAGTTATGAATTGTATCCATGACAATATCTTTTGGATTAATACTATTTCGAAGATTTTTTGAAATAGTTTTCAGAGCATTCCGACCAGTCGTTTTATGTTTTTGAATACGATAAATAATGTGAGGAAATGCAAACTTCATCATTACAGCAGCGAAAAACATTTCAATGCAAAGTATAAAGTTTTGATAACCTGCAGCAATTTTAACACCATGTTGATTTTTATTGCCAATTAGTCCATTACGGTCTAATATTGTTAAAACCAGCCCTAAACATTGTTAATCACTCAATTTTAAACAGTAATTTATTTCACTATGTATTTGTTATAATTAAAGTGTTTAAATTATAATATGCAATATATTTATATTCATAAATTTATTTTTACCTTGCCAGAAGGACATAAATATGACGAATTTTACAGTAATGAACTTTAGAACAGGGTAGAATGGACTTAAAAGGTCTTTAGTGGCACTGTAGAACAAAAACATTCCATACAAGGCAACCGAATAAGAAAAGTTGTAAAGAAGTGTGATATAAAGATATCCACGATCTGGCCTAGATAAAGAAGCTTGAATTAAATATTATATTAATGTTCATCATCATCATCATCATCATCATCATCATCATCATCATCATCATCATCATCATCATCATCATCATCATCATCATCATCATCATCATCATCATCATCATCATCATCATCATCATCATCATCATCATCATCATCATCATCATCATCATCATCATCAATATTTTTATCTACAATTATAAAAGTAGCTTATCTTCATCTTTTTTTTTATGATGTGGTGTTATTGTTCCTTACAAAAGTTTAAACACCAACAACACCATATTAAGGTTCAAAAGTTATTGTAATAACAGGTGTTGCAGAAGTTATCGGAAAAATCTGAATTTTATTATTTTAACATAATAATTTGTTTTTGTGGTTTTATGCTTAGGTATAAATGTTCTATAAAATATAAACTTTATTATTTAAAACACAATTATTTAAAATAAGGCTAAATGCAGCTGAACGAGAATCTTTTCGAAAGCGACTCAAAATGTTTTTTGTAAATAAACTTAATATTAAAAAAAAAAAAAATCGTAAATCATTTTGAAAAGGAAGGATTTGCTTGAAGTACAATTTGATAAACTAAAAAGACTTAAAACTGTTCAATCCTTTTCTGATAGAAAGCAAGCTGGTTACCCAAAATCCTGGAATAGAGAAAAGAAAGTCGAATTAACGAGACTTGTCAACAATTGAAAAAATGTCAGTCCGAGAAAAATAGGCTTTAAATTCAGTGTAAATCACTCGAGAATTGGTCATCAGTTACAAAAAAAATGAATACTAAATATAGAATGTGAAAAGGCTCTAAAATACACTATAGAACAACAACTAAAATCAAAGAAAAGAAGCAGGAAACTAGTTAACCAAGTCTATAGCACAAAATTACTTCTGGTCATTGATGAAAAATTACTTTTGTTTTGCAGGAGACATTTCTATGCCTGGAAATTGTGGATACTAAACAAACAACAAAAAAACTAGTGCTAGTTTTACTGGAAAAGAGAAATTTCTAAAAAAATTAATGTGGATAGCTATATCTGACCGTGGTATGTCCGAGCCATTGTTTCGCACTTCCAAGGCTACTAATTCATCAATCTATATTGATGAATATTTAGAAAAATGACTTCTTCCATTCATTCACAAATTCAAACTTTAACTATTTATTTTGACCAGATTTAGCAAGTTCTCATTTATCTAAAGATTCTTTAAATTGGATGGACCTTTTGATTGGATGATTTGTCTATTACATTGATAAAGAATCCAATCCCCTAAATGTGCCTATAGCAGGACCAATCAAAAACTTGCGGGGACATTTGACACAGAAGATTTGCAAGCTTCAACAGAGCAAGTTTTGATAGATCGAATTAAATTAAAACTACAAGAAATCTATTTAAATTTTTTACAGTCGCTTATAAAAGATGTCAGAGCAAAATTGAGATCAATTACAGATGGTGTTGTTTTTTCATTTAAAAAATAACTTATTTTTATGAAAAAAGAAATTAAAAAAAATAATAATAATAATTTTTCTTTCATTTATAAATAAGTTATTAATGTTTTTATTTTGTCCAATTACACATCACCCTATATATATATATATATATATATATATATATATATATATATATATATATATATATATATATATATATATATATATATATATATATATATATATATATATATATATATATATATATATATATATATATATATATATATATAAATTTATTTTTTATTTGTTATTAATATTTTATATGTTAAGATTTTAACATTCAATATTTCATTGTTAAAATACTTTACTGCTGTTTTCTTTATAATTACATTATTATTTTATGTAATGCATGTTTCATGTTTGTTTCATGATTGGTTAGCAATGTATGTTTCATGATTAAACCTATAATATTATTTATAGTTTGTTATTAACTTTTAATTAGAATTTTAACTGCTAAATTCTTATAACATAAAAAAGACAAATAACACTATAATCCTCATGCATTGATTTGTTGCTTAAAATTTATTTTAAGTATCATAAAAAAAATAACTATGAAAAACATTGAACTGATTTTTTTTATTTATTTGCAAGAAAAATATTTGCTAAACAAACCTTGCATCTTGGATGACAATAAAATATAAAACTATTAATATAAAAACATTATAGAGCATAATAACAAAAACTAGGTATATATAAAAATTGATGCAACAAAAATCTACATTTTTGAAAACTACTACTCCATTAAAATTGAAGCAGCCACAAATACCAACACTTCCACCACCACCTTGAAACCTTCCACCACTACTTTGAAACCTTCCACCACCACCTTGAAACCTTCCACCACCACCTTGAAACCTCAGTACAAATAAATTACTATACTTTTCAGATTTAAATCTTTTAACAAGAAATTTGCTTTTTCTATTTATGACTTCAGAGTTACTTTCATCACTAAAACTTGCTTCCACGTTTCTAAAGACTACCAGAATCTCTTCTAACACCACCTTAATCTTGTGTAACTGTGTATATGGTGTATATGTAACTGTGTATATGGTTAGTTGCAAACGATAATCAGGGAAGACATAAAGTAAAAGACTCAGTAAGAGTATTGCCATTCATTTACAGAGTTGTTAGTCCTTGGCCTTGACCTTGCCTTAAGGCCAAAAATTAAAGGTTGACCTTGGCCTTGAAACTGTTGGTCTTGGCCTTAATTGTTTTGGCCTTGGCCTTCAAAAAAAATACATAAAATTAAAGATTTAAAAGTTTTTATTCTTTATTTTTATGTATTTTTGTTTTTGGCTTTCATACATATCTACAAGTATGTTATCTTATTGATTTTGTAGAATTTTGCGCGTAAACCTGGTTTTATTTTTACAACATGTGGTTTATTGTCACAGCAATTGCTACCAACAATTTTGTTAATAATTGCCCTTAATGTTAGGCAAAAATTCAAGTCTTTCGGCTTAAAAATGTTTGCGTAGACCTTTCCTTGAAATTCTTTTTCTTGGCCTTGATCTTAAAACTCTTGGCCTTAGCCTTATAACATGTGGCCTTGGCCTTATCTTTGGCCTTGCTACTTTTGGCCTTGTTAACAACTCTGTTCATTTATATAAGGCTGATTAATATAAATATGGCAAATACTACCACCAGTAATCAAATTGAATTTTGATCCTTTTTTTTAACTCAGTTGACTCCATTGTTCAACATTAATATCAACAATATTGCAATAATTGTTAGTAGTAAAAAACTGAGTATTGTTAGCTTTTGTAACTGATGGACTATATTTATCAGTCACAAAAAGCCTCAAGCTGTCACAGAAGGTAGATCAGATTCATGATCAACTTACTGTTCTAAGCCATCAAAAAGTGACAAAATATTGTCTGGAGTATATAGTATCATCACCAAATAGATCTTTATAGACTTTATAGGTAATAGACTTTTGAGGTAAAATTCTCAAATAATTAATATAGTTGATGAACAACACAGGACCAATGATGGAACATTGTTGACCCTCAAAAGTTACTGAAAATGAAGGAAAATATTTTCCATCAAGAACAACTTTAAAACTGTGGTTAATAAAGAATGATTCAATAACTTTAAAATTTTTCTCAGCTACACTATAAAGCAAGTTAATAGTGTATCTGGGAAAGATTAAATAAAAAAAAATGAATTTAAATTGTGTTAAATTTTGTAAGAAGTTAGATTCCACTGATGAAAATTAACTTTAAAGACCATGAATATTTTTAAATGATTAAAGCAATTTGAAAGTAATAATTTTTTTAGTGGTTACAGTTGTTTTTTTTTTGAAATATTTTCAGGTACTTTATTCATGTTTTTAATGATTAGATAAGCTATGCAGTTATCTTTTCTAATAACTCAAAATTGTTATAAAGAATGTTATATGTGGCCTCAACAATGCACAAAAAAACCACTAACAGAAACACTTTCCATGTGCAACATGGCACATGGTACACCAATCAGCCTCTCTGGGAACTACCAAAAATTGCAGGAAACTTTACTACCAGTTAGCTTCAGAACCATTAAACTGAGTTTTGATGCACCTTCATTAGATAATAGAAAATAGATAATAATAGAAATTGTTGCATAGTCAATACCAAGGAGACACTAGTAAAAACTTGTGAGAAAATAAACAGGCTGTACTGGATTATATACCAACAGTACCAGGGTGATCAAGATCACGATGATTCTAACCTTGACCTGACCTGAAAAAGAGAGTCAGCTCTCATTTCCATACAGAAAGCAGAGTATTGGTTTAATACACCCAACACATCCTGACCGAATTAGTGTTGCAGCTGTTGAAACTCATTAACAACTTGCTCAAACTACTCTCTTACTTCTCTTCATATCTAAATGAGAGAAAGTAATGTTATTGCAAACAATTTATATTATTATTTATTATATCTTTAAGAATCTAATAATAAGACAAAGGCTACTACTTTTCTGCTTGATACCACAGTTTTGTCTAGACACCTGTAACATTTTAGTCATCCATGAAGTTCTTATTTAATTTTAGCACTGCTATTTCAAATTTTGTGGCTTCTTTGTTCTTTCCTGATAATTTTTATCATTTTTATCTTTATTTTTTTTATTGTTTTTTTTATTTTTATTGATCATTTATCATGAATCCAGTTTATCATAGTTTTATCCATTCTTTTTCATTTTTGTATGGTATTCATAAAGCTGTTTTCAAACCTTGTGTCTCTTTTTCTCATAGTCTTATTTTTCTTGATTAACAAAAGGGGAGAGAAACTTGTTTAGCTTTTTAAATTCCCTGAATTTTTCATGACTTTTTAATAAGCTTTCCAGGTTTTCCCCAAGATTTCAATGGTACATTTTTTTTTTAAATAAAGCATGCAAATGCATTTAATTTCATAAAAAACATGTAAAAACAATATTTTTTATTTGTAAAATGGAGCTAAAAGAAAAACTTTTTAGTGAGAAACTTTATAAACAAATTTCTTCTTCGCATTTACAGTTTCTAAA